CTCTCCCCAATCTTGATCAAAACCGCTTGCGAAAAATTGGCCAAAGCGCCTGACCAGTGGAAACCAGCTGAGAGATGGAATGAAGTTTATGACGACGTGCCTTGGGAAATCATGGTTCGCTACCTGCGTTACTGGCCACGTATTGGCTCCCGCATTACAGGAGGCCTCAGGCTTCTTCGACGGTACGAAGGCCCCTTCCCGAAGTGTTATCAGGTGGGTGAAGGAGAAGAACCGCTGGAGTTGCCGCGCGTTTCTCTCGTTTGTGATTTTGTTTATGTTTGGAACGACGAAGATGAACAACAACGGCAGTTTGTCCTTCAGATGAAACACCTCTCACTTGTTGCCATCCGTCTCGGTGGTCCGGGGGAACTTCCTGACCTTGATGCTGGAGCAATACCTTTGACCGACCAGCTGAGTGCAAAGTTGGGGTGGCAATAATTAATGGATCTTGAGGCGGGAAGGCAGAGTGCCAGCAGCTGGGAAGGCAGAGTGCCAGACGTTGTCGCGTCACCCAGCTGTACCCTGCTTCGCCTGCACGTGATTCGCTTGACAGTGTGGTCAACGCAGAAAAGCGCAACATCCAGCAGTTCGTAGCCACTTCACGCGATTTGTGCATCCCTAATACTATCAAACCCTAAAACTATGGCACTCTGCCTTCTAGCCCCAAACCCTAAATACTAAAGACCCTGAAACTCTAACCCTAACCCTTTCATTACCCTCAAACCCTAACACTATGGCACTCTGCCTCCTAACCCCAAACCCTAAATATACTAAAGACCCTGAAACTCTAACCCTAACCCTTTCATTACCCTCAAACCCCTAATACTATGGCACTCTGCCTTCTAACCCCAAACCCTAAATATACTAAAGACCCTGAATCTCTAACCCTAACCCTTTCATTACCCTCAAACCCCTAATACTATGGCACTCTGCCTTCTAACCCCAAACCCTAAATATACTAAAGACCCTGAAACTCTAACCCTAACCCTTTCATTACCCTCAAACCCTAACACTATGGCACTCTGCCTGCTAACCCCAAACCCTAAATACTAAAGACCCTGAAACTCTAACCCTAACCCTTTCATTACCCTCAAACCCCTAATACTATGGCACTCTGCCTTCTAACCCCAAACCCTAAATATACTAAAGACCCTGAAACTCTAACCCTAACCCTTTCATTACCCTCAAACCCCTAATACTATGGCACTCTGCCTTCTAACCCCAAACCCTAAATATATAAAGACCCTGAAACTCTAACCCTAACCCTTTCATTACCCTCAAACCCTAATACTATGGCACTCTGCCTTCTAACCCCAAACCCTAAATATAATAAAGACCCTGAAACTCTAACCCTAACCCTTTCATTACCCTCAAACCCCTAATACTATGGCACTCTGCCTTCTAACCCCAAACCCTAAAGACCCTGAAACTGTAAACCCTGTGCCAGGTCTTCTTCATCCTCGTCTTCTCGGAAAAAACATTAGTTTTTTTTTGTTTTAAAGTTTTTAAAAATTTTTAAAAGTTGTTTAAAGTCTTTAAAAGTCTTTCAAATTCTTTTTAAAGTTTGTAAAAGCTTTTAAAAGCGTTTAAAAGTCTTTTAAAGTATTTTTAAAGCTTTTAAATGTATTTTAATGTTTTTAAAAGTCTTTTAAATATTTTAAAAGCCTTTTAAAGTTTTGAAAAGTCTTTTAAAGTTTGCAAAAGTCTTCTAAAAGTTTCTAAAAGTCTTTTAAAGTCTTCTAAAAGTTTTTAGAATGTTTTTTCTTGCATTTGAAAGTTTTTAAAAGTCTGTAAACGTCTTTAAAAGCCAACTCTGTCGAAAAAGCCCTGTGGATCTAAACCTTGTGGTTCTGGTTCGGTGCAAAGGGGCAATGATATAAGTCGGTTTGCATGACTTGCTTGCATGTTTCTCAGACAACGATGCCAACCAGGCCGAACTGTTCGAGCTATGCGTCTACCCAGGTTCCCCGCAACAAGCAGGAGAATACTGTTCAGTGTTGGCTCAGCCCCAGCCGGCTCCGTGCACTCGTGGCCTTCACCGAAGTACATCTGTCTCGCTGCTGTCAAAGCAATCCCCCTGTAAAACTGTGGCTAGGCTTTGCCTGGTTCGGTGGCTTGCGAGGTGGCATCGAGGTCATGCACGTCTTGCTGCAAGACTGTCCATGATTGATCTCATGCAAACGCATCACCAAAACATCTTGGGTCCAAAACAGCTCGTCGGATAGTTCATGTAGGCTCGTGCAAGCACCTGCTTCTGGCTTCATAAACGGCTACTAGCCTGCTACCTGCAAATCCGGCAGAGCAGCTTTAAAGCTGCATTCAGGAAGCCCTGCGCGTGCCAACTCTTAAACAAAGGTCCAAACGAATCAGCTATAGACTGTGGACGTTTCCAAAAGGTCTTTCAGTCATCACGGCACAGACACAACATAACCCAACTGCTCCACCAGAAGGCCCTGCATCTGTCTGGGCCACAGGCAAAGGCGTGCAGCATGAGTGGGTCCTGTTATGTCATTGGCACGTCGCACGATATTTTGCCAACCAAGTTTTAGGTGCGGTTGGAGCACGAAGGAAGCCAGCTTGCCGGCATTCTCACAGCTTGAACGATGTCTATCCGGGAATGCCGGTCAAGATGCTTGGTCGGCGCCACAGTTGAAGAGAACCAGAATCATGTCAAACAGAAACCATTGGACGAAGCTTCTGTGCAGCGCCACAGCCACCTGCCTGCATCGTGGCTTCCACCAGAGCCGATCTCGGCACCTAGCACGAAGAGCCGATGCAGATGTTTACAGCGGCGGAAAAACAGCCTGTGCATGTGTGTTGCATCAGTCTTCAATTTCAGATCGGGGACAACAAACACACTCAGGGGTTGGACATGGAATGATGAAAGCATGGTTATGGTTCGGTATACTCTGTCAAGGGTTTTCGTGTTAGCGGTTTGACTCGAATTGGTCTTGTCTGGCGACGGGGGTGTTATCAGGGAATGTTTTGCCAGCACTGCCAGGGCCCTGGGCTTTGGACTCACAGCTGAAGGTGTGTGATGTGCTGTGCCACAAAGCCCAATGCCGAAAGCCGCACGACTTCTGAATTCAACTTGTGTACAACAGTCTCCAGAGCCATGTCCCTGCCCAACACCTCCTCCTTTGCCTTTCATGTCGTCATGCATTCGAGCCTGGCTCCCATCCGCTGCACCATGGGCCTCGCCAGGGATCCGAAAGCACAAGCGCCTCACAGTAAAACCTAAAGCCAGCACCAAGACCTGTGGTTTCCTTTTTCACTAGCTACGTGTAGCTGTGCCTTCGCGAGGGAGATCACCAACCACTCGCTTCACAGTGTCACACGCGCACAGGCCACGGGCGTGCTGGTCTGAAAGCCCTCAACACTTAGACTACAAACTTACAACACAAGGAATCAAAGTTTTTCCGCCTACATGTATGCCACCTACAGCAGCATACAATTGCTATTTTGCGACATTGTCTCTACAAATCTCTTCAGGTGCATCCTGCACATGACGGGTCTTACTCATCTGGCTGGCCTCGGCCCAAACAGTGCGCAGGAGCTGTTCCAGCTCCGGCTGCTCTTGAACCAGGGCGCCCTGAGTGGATACACGCAGCTTCATTGAGAGCTACTGGAAGGGAGAGCCTTGCAGACCTCGATGCGAAAAACTGCGACGGTAATGAAGCTGCTACTAGGCCGTGGCCTGGTCCGCTTTCAGCACCTGTCCTGTCTATGAAAACCAAGCCGCTGAGTCCAACAAAGGCCAGCAGCTCTGAATTTCCGAAGCTGCTTGCGATTGGGCTCCAGGCAAGGCGGCGTGCATCAACTTCGCCCTGAGATCTGCGTCTTGCAAGTTGGGGACTTTACTTGAAGTGCAGATGGCCGTACAGGGACATATTCCAAGGGCACCTGTGGAAGTCTTGCTATTCAAGAGTTAGAGTCAGTTCGACATGGCCAAACTGGGAGAGAAGTATTGCTGAAAAAGTTTATGGCCTTAGAATCGCCTTCATTCCGCTAATTGCGACTAAAGCCCCTGAGTATACTCGGAGTCTCGAAAGGCTTGAGAAGATTCCATGATCCCCCATACCTAAGATGATAGCGAGTCTGTACCATGGGCCCGGTTCGCCAGTCGGCAGTTACAAGCCGCCCTCAGCAAAGTCTTGGCAAGTTCTCTGCGGCTCTTCTTTGCCCTGCGGCTTTTCTTCCTACCATCAGTCTTGGTGCTGAGACATTTGGGGTCAGCACCATCGGCGACGCGGACCTTACAGGCCGAGACGGGAGACTCTGTGTTAGCATTGTAGGATTCCTGGGCTTTGCAGCTGCAGACTCTTTGGCCACCGTTCCTTCTGTTTCTGACAGCGCTATTACAAGACAGCATTATCCGTCAGTGGATTCGGATAATGATGGTATCACCAATGCCCGATGCAAGATTTCTGGAGACGGGGTTTAGCGCGGCGATTTTCAACTGAAGGAGGGACAATGTCATCCTGCACTCATTTTTGCCGGCACAGAGATGTGCTTTCAGCTGATGTACCCGTGATGCAGGCAGTGAGACAATGAACGATCGCTGAAACCTGGCTACGGCTGGCAACCATTTCGTGCCATGGATCTGGTAAAGTCCTCCGTCAAGAACAGCTCGTGAAGGATCGTATCCCATGTAACTCGTTTCAAAGTTTCACCGACATTCACCGACTGCTTTCACATGTCCTGGCCTTTCGGAGGCATATGAGTGAAACCTGGCAATAATGGCTCTCAAGCTTCGCAGTGGCCTCGCGAATCCCAAGGTCTTGCTACTGCCAGTCGTGGGCTGAGTCTTTCAAGAAGGATGCTACTGACACCAAGCGCGCGTTATGTGCCACCAAAGCGAAGGATGGACCGACCACGGCCTGCCCCACAGCCCACAAAGTGCTAGCTCACCAACCCCAAAGCAGCTCGCCCTGAACGTCACGAACCCCTAACCCGAAACAAAGCAAATAACCACATGCCTGAACGGTCTGAAGCCTTTCTCATCGCTTCGGAGCAGCCAGGTCAGCCTTGTAGGGTTCAGTCGATAACCGGAACTTCAGACCAACTGCATCATGTCGGCGAAGAAACTCTGTCGGCACGTGTGCTCGATGTCAATGCTTGCATGATTGAAAAAACAATGGACACCATAAGCATCTCTCCATGTCCTTGCGTCACTGCGACTGAGAGCTCCGAGTTTCTGCAAAGTTGCGGCATGCTCCTCGAGGTAGTTCGCCAGGTAATCCACAGGATCATCTGGCAACACCTTCCATGGCAAGAACTGCTAAGTGGATACCATTAAACCGGTCCTTACAACACTGTGCGAGCTTCTGGTGCGCGGACTGACTGCTTGGCTGTTGATCTCAAGTGTATATGCTCAAAGGCGCGTCCCGCCCATGGATCCAGCTTCTTGTAAACTAGTGGACGTCCCGGATTCTGCCCCTCAACCCTGCCGATTCTCTATCCCGTTCATGCGATTCAAGCTTCGCCGTAGTCGCCATCGTCGAAGCAGCAGCAGATGAAGGCAGGGTCAGTTGTAGTGGCAGTAGAAATACCGAGGCCACGGGATGGAAGGGATGGTGTGGTGTGGAGAGAACTATGGGTAGTTATGAGTGGGGTTGTAAGTCCCCCTAGTATGGGCTATGACTATGGTTACTCTAATTACAACCCCACTTAGACGAGTCTTGGAATGTTGGAGGTTTGCACGCCTCCTATGCACGACTCCTAACATCCTTGTAATATGAAGCAAGAGGTAATACCGAAGCTTCTGTTGCCATTCATGATATGGCTGACACTGACGCCATTTCCAAGCCTTCTGATACTGCTTTCCATGCTGGTGCAGCCAATGGTCAATGCTGCAAATTCACCAGCTTTGCTTGCACGACTGGTTTTAGAGCCATGTGCCAAGCACGAAGGATGGAACCCATTCTTGTCTTGTCTTGCCAGGATCTCCGACATTACTAGTAGCCGCTACGCTACTGAGAGTCATACATTTGCCGCGCGAGTGCCAAACAAACATAAGTAGCATGCAGAATAGGTGTTTCGTTTGTCATTGTATTAGGCTTGGCAGTGCCGTCTACAAAGATTACGACCTACTTGATTTTGATCACATAAACACCCCTTTAACAGGCATGCATCTACATGTATATTACAAACATCGGGCAATTACGCTGGCTTACCAAACACTTCATGTAGCAAGCCTGCCTTACAGACCTCGACGAGGCCTTCCGTGAGATTGGGCACCATGTACCTTTGTTTGACACTCGCCCTCGGAAATGTCGGACAAATCACGGTGGAGGATCGGGTTCTGGGCACGAAGGGGGCTGGGCAGCATTTCGTATGATCCGTTTCGTTGGCAGACCTAGTTGGTTGTTCTCGTCCGAGGGCTTGCTAGATGTTGAAGTCTTGACGATGGGATGATGAACTGGCATCGGCGCTAGTCATGTTCTTGCAATAGTCTGCGGTTGTTTATGGTTTCTGCGTCAGTCCACGAAACGTGCCTGCTCTGCCGAGGAGAAGGATATGCCAGCAAACGACCAAAACGACACGGTCCAACCTCCATAGTTCGCCAGGGCAGGCAATCGCCTACTACTCATGAAGTATATTCACCTATTTGGACGGATGGATGGTCTTAGTCTTAATTAATCCTGCAGCTACGCGGCTGCATAAGGTACTCACGCAGGGGCAGATCCCGAAGCTTCTGCTGCGCAGCCTTGGCAGTTTTCGCACATACCCATAGGCCCATGATGTCCATAGTAGATCCTTGTTGGGGTTCATATTTAGAAACCTATAAGGCAGTCCCAACAAGGAACTAATTACAATTTCGCCTATGGGTGTGGCTTGTGGCCACCCTCGAACTTGCCAGGACGGGGCTTGATGCTTCGCGAGCCATGGCCCACAGGCTGGACTTGTATGTTGATACTCCAAAACCTATACAACTGAATCTCTGGGAATTCCCAGCTTCGAAGGCCAATAATGAGTTTTCTATGGATCCCGCCATGCAGGAAAAGGAGGAGCTTTACCAAGAGACAGCCCATGCTATGGCGCGCCTCATGGTTTGCGACGATGCGGAGGCGGGCTGCATGCCTTTGCTCCTCCCTCTTCTCTGCACTGCTGTCATCCTGGTGGGCGTTCGCTGGCGTTCGGATCTCTTTGCAATTTGACGGGATTTCTCAGCACCAGCGGACTTCGAGGGTTCGATGCCGTTTGGAGATGAATGTCGCGATTTGAGACGGCAGGCATCACTTGGCAAAGACGTGGTGGCAGCGTATCATCCGCACCAAACTCCTCAGGTCCACTCGAAGATCCCAGCCCGGTTTGTCGTGAAGGCAGTGATCGGTGGGTTGGATGGTAGGACATATGATGGGACTGACTATGCACGCCTATCGCCTGCATCCTTCGACTTATTCCGTCCCCGAGGGCTCGGGCCTTCTGCTTCATGGACTCTGCAGCCTCAGCAGCTGCTTTGGCTTTCCTTGGTGTCATGACGGCCATGTCTGCTTGGCCATCAGAAAATGCACTTTGTCAGCAGCCCGGTCTCCCAGGCAGGTGAACCGACTATGCCGTGATAAGAGCTCAGTCCACCCAAGGATCTGCAAGAGCATTACAGGGCACTGGAAGGAACGCGATTCTGTTCTCTTGCAGCTGAACGTGTTGGTAAGCGCATTGCATGATCGCAAGTGAAGTGGTAACGTTATTCCGACAAGCAAATCCAAGCTACACCCCGGCTCGCCACCCTCATCATTGTCATCTGGGGTGCACAGCCACAACTCATGCCGTCCCTTGTTGGAGAACTCCTGGCAGGCAAGCGTCTCTGCCCGCCGCTCACGAATCTGGCGCGAGACCTCGAGCAAAGGCGTTGGCAGCTTGCATGCAGACTGGATACGCATTCCAAGTTTTTTGTCGAAGTCAATGGGATATAGACACATAGAACCTGCATTTGAAAGCTCCTTCCGCCGTTTTCAGCTACAGTAAGTTCTCCTTGATATCTGGTCTCGGCTCCTGTAACATCTGTAACGAGGCGGACCGAACATCACCCCAAGTACAAGGCCATGCGAACAACCGGACGGAGCTGCAACATGTCAGCACTGCAGTGCCTCTTCTTCGGGAGTCAAGTAATTATACGGCCGCCCATTTCGCTCGATGTATATCCGGGCACTTTCGAAGATGTCCTGGCTGCTGGAATGAGCATGTAACCATTTGGCCCAGGTGAATATGCCTGATGCTACAAAGCTTGACTGCAGCGAACGGACTTCTCCCTGCTAGCTAGCTGCCTGCCGAAATGCACTATGCAGGTTCCAAAGTCTTAAGCGCGGCAATCAACATTCAAGTCAGTGCATGTGGACAGGGGGCCACTGTGCTTCAAGATCCCGCTTAGGTCCTCCTCGTCCTTGCCGTCAATGGGAAGATTGAGCACGCCTTTGCTTGCGACATCCTGGAAGAAGTCTTGCAGGCTGTGCACATCCTGCGTGAGGTTGTTGTTGACGTAGGCCTGGCAATGCAGCAGCTTTCACCTCCACGTGCTTCTAAGCAACGATTGGAAAAAGTGCGGCTCACCTGACTGACAGAAGCTGCCGCAATAACTTTTGGGTCAGGTGTTCGAGTTGCCAGTCTTCACGACTTGGGCCACAGTCTTTTCGATTGCAGATTACCCTCCTGGTGCAGACAGGCTAGATGAGCCACTCCACGCTCACTACAAAGAGTCGCCCGAAGCATATCTCCTGACTGCAGTTGACTCAAGCTCTTGCTTGGTGCTCATGCTTGCATCATCGTGCCGGCTCCTCTAGACCCGCCCCCAACCCCTGAAACAGACAAGACCGAAAAAGGAAAACACAACTGGCCTGCATGGACTTCTCGAAAGCCTCGAGAGAAGCACCGCTGCGCTGCCATCGAGCCTTGCAGGTAGCGGCCGGTGCCTGCGTGATGATCACCTGAGATTTCGAAGCTTGATCGGGCTGCTCTGACTTACAAGTAAGTAGGGCTGTGAGGAGAGCCGTCCGTGCTCCAAGTCAAAGGGTGCGCTCGTCTCGCTCCACTGTGCAGTCCGCAGAGGCTGACCCCAAGCATGAAGCGCAGCGTAGCTTTTCTTCCAAGCTGCCATGGCAGGGCACGTCTCCTCGCACCATGACACAGCTTATACATGTACATAGTTCGAACTCATCAGATCACGCACATGAACCTGGCACGGCTGTTTTTCATACATATATACATATATATATATATATATATATACACGTAATTATACGTACACATACACACGCACAGAGAGAGAGAGAGAGAGAGAGAGAGAGACAGAGAGAGAGTCAGTCCCAACAAGTTGCCTCCGAAACAACGCCAAATCCAGAAAATTACCGTCACACGAATGGAAGTGCTTCTCAGATGGCCTAGCAGCGGGTTCTCCTCGTTGAGCCTGCGCTCAATCTTTGGCGGCGTGGGCTCTCCGCCCTCTGGCTCCGCCTCCTGCTCCTCTTCAAAGGAACTTATAGGGTTCAGGAGGCTTTGTTGGGTCCAGGTCGGTGGGTCAAAAAGCCGACTGTGACGGATCTTAGGTTCAAGATCTGCTTCCTCCGGGTCAAAACTCAATCTCCATGTGCTGCGCCGCCGCATGCTGTCCAGTCCGATATTGGAACTATCGCCAAACAGAATAATAACGGTGACCTCTTGCACATCTTCGAGATTTCTCGAGAACACACAGATTGCACTGTCTTTTCTTTCTTTTGCAACTACACAGTCCTGACGGAGTGGCGCAGAAACGTGTGTTCTAAGGCGATTCCATCCGCATACAGCTGCTGTGGATGGCAGGAAATCTCATCGCTGCAGTGGGTCTGGATTAGAGGAAGCTCACATCTTGGAAAGCTGGAAAGCGAGATCGGCAGTTCGCCAACACGAACACTCCATCTGAGTGTCCACATTCGCTACGACCCAGAAGTGCCTCCTCTGTCTTCGGCACCTCTACGTCGTACCGGAACAGCCTTGGCGAGAGTGACCCCACCCCCCGCTAGCTGCCTGACTTCAAGAAAAACATCGTGGCTTTCAGGCCTTTGGCACAGCATGGTCAAGCATCGATGTGTTTAACCAAGAAGCTTCTCCGCCTCTGCGAAACCGATGCCCCCTGCCAAGGCTGAGCACTTAGTAGCAAGGCCGGCCCCGGCATGAAGTCCCCCACATTGTGACTCAAACATGTCATAGTCATAGTCCTAGCAATCCTAGCTCCTCAAGGATAAGCAGGTCACGAGTCATGATCATGATCAGCCTGCATCGAGGACATATCCCCGGAAATGGCACACGCTGGAGGAGATCTGCGCAATCCTCGGTGGCATGCAAAACCAGAAGCTCTAGTGAAACAGACTCACACCATGCATGCCCACGCATACAACCCCAAAACTGACAACTTCCGAAGCATTTTTTCTGCGGAGAGTTTCGTTTTGTCCAGATCCGTGCTGCCCAACTCTTCGGGCAAAGAAAGGTGCGGCACCTTGAAGTGATCCGCCACGGCCTGGGCCTCAGGAGTTGCGTGGGCATGTGCAGACAGAATCCGGAAGGACGGTTCGGAGTCGCAGCCCGAAGACAGAAGTACAAATCGTCGGGGAATGCCGGAACAAGAATTCACACCAGAACTCAGGGCTCATCATCCCATCCATGCGAAGCGTGGCCAGGGCCAAACTGCAGCAGTGCTTGTTCCGCTGGCTTTGCAAAAGCATAGACGAGGATAACAGATTCTGCCACGGTCGAATGCCACAGGCAAAGGCAAACGTTAAAAAGTGGCTACTTGATGTTCCAATCCAGTGTCAGGCAGCTTCGGATGTTCGGTGGGGCGCTATGAGGTCATGCTCAAGAGTCATGTGTCGAAGGAGTTAGGCCGCCAGCATCACCTGCAGAACCGCCACTCTGAACACTCCACAAGCAATCATTCTTTGCCTGATCCTTAGAGAGTGGTGCCTTGACCGCCCAGTTGCTAGATTCGTCTTTCCCGAATTCGGCGGCCCAGCAACCAGGATCCTGAGGGCATTTTGGTCGTGGCTAACTACTGGTAGCTGTCTTAACGCGGAACGGATGCGAACAACATCGCACTCTGCGGTACGGCTGCATTGCAAGCGGGGGACCGCATGGCCCGCAGCTTCTGGCCGTTGCAGAACTCATCGGCTATTGTCCGGAGGTTTGCGAGCAGACCATTCCTCAACTCTCTCAACACGTGTCATGGGGCTGCCTCTTCCCGGAGCAGATTTCAGAGACTCCAAGAACTCCTGTGGAAACATGCTCCTGTATATATATATATATATATATATGTATATATATATACATATATATATATATATAGTATATACTGTGTCGGAAGGCTTCGAAGCCCCAAGACTTTGGCTGTGTCAAGCGGCTTGCAAATCCACCCGGGCGGCTCCAGGCTGGCACAGAAGTCCTGACGCACGGATCGCACCCCCCCTAAAGAATTCCCTGCTGCCTTCCGCCGCAGACTTCCACCACCTGGACCATCCTTGATCAGGAAGATTCTTGGATCTCTGAAGACTGAAGCCACACATCCTGGAACGCGAAAAAGGTCATTTCTTGGCTCCTCTGCGAGGGCAATGGCCGAAGGCTCGAGCCAAAGGTCCAAGGCCATGGCGTCCTGGAAAGGGCTTCCAATGTCGGGATACACAGACCTTAACCTACCACGACCTACTTTTTTGTAGGGTCTCTACAAATCCCATATTATTGTTTATGATAAGAACCTACAAACAAGTAGGGTTTAGTAGGTCTAGGGATGCATTATTAGGTCAGCAAATGACAGTTATTAATTGCGGCACGTCACCAAAAATCGGTCAGACTGGCCCTCCATAAAGACCCATATGATCGTAAACAAGCCCCAAACTGCCTAACGCTAACACACAAAGCCTTAAAACAAACCTCAAAGGCCAGCTGAAATCCGAAGACATGTTCTGGTTGTATGTTCTGGTTCTAGGGTTTAGGGTTTCGACGCTCACACTCGAACACGGCAGGCAAGGCTCCACATGGTTTAGGGTTTAGGGACCACAGCTCCGAGCACAACGAAACCAAAACGCCATGACATGAGAACGACTGCTCAGCCCGGCCTGTAGCTCCGTCATCCCACCCTCGGCGACGCTGGCCTCTGCAGTGCGGGAGGTCTAGGTAATGTAGGGCCCACTATACTATACTATATTTTGGCACCCCCCCCTCAAAAAAAACTAATCAATCTTTTATTGGGCCATGTATTATGTCTGGAATGGAAGTTGCCCTAGACGCCCCTCTGCAGCTACGAGACTGCTGCCGCTGGCACAAACTGCACCTTTGGCTGTCTTGCTTCGTAGCTGCATGGTCTTTCAGCCCCACAACAAGAGCTCAACACAGGAAGCGCCTTGGACACCCGTGGCACGTCGTAATGCTCGCCCATTTCGTCCACAATGGCTTGGACAATGTCCTGACTGATGAGATTGCACATATACAGTAGTGGCCACATTCCACCTAAAGAACTGCTATTGCATGACCCACTTCAACTAAACTAGTCCACTAGTGTCCACCACCTCAGGTTCAGCAGCAAATGCCTTCGCGACTTCTTGAGTTGTCGAAACATGCATTGGTCAAGTCTGTAAGCATATGCACACACAGACACAAACGTATGCATGTACATACATACTCAAATGTAACACGACTACAGTGGCAACATGAGCCTAAATGGTCCAGCATGTTTATGGCTGCGGGAGACCGCGTTATGAAGGCTTCTCCACACAAAGCGGCTGGCTACCGTGGCGATGGATCCATCGCAGCTACTTCGCGACTCATCCGAAAGCAAACTCGGTGCTCCACTGTGATTAGCTGTTGCAGGCCAGGCTCTTTTTGCGAAGCCGGCATTGGTGCTTGGCCCTCTTTTGCTGCTGGCCTGAGACTTGAAAGCCCTGTACTTTACCGTTGGCGATGCCTCCAGCTTGAACTCGCAATACGGCCGTAACATCACTGAGAGGCTAGTGAAGGCACAATTCTTTGATTACTGGAAAGCTTTCGAAAGCAGGAATGCACACCTCAGAAGACCCTTGCTAGGGAAGCTGAGGGGGCGACGGCTGATCAACGGCAAGGAAGTACGGAGTTGCTTCCAAGGGGTTGATTCCCTCCGCATTCCTTGGATTCTCTGAGCTACGGCCATTGAATGGAAACATCAACCAGCTCCCTACGCAATATGGGACTACATAGTCCAGATCATGATGAAGATCAAAAGCCTGCTCTTGTGCAACGAGAGCCTGCGAAAACTAAAGCCACGAGCAAATGGGTGACTGCAGAGCAAGCACCCTGTTGTGACCAAGCCTCGTAATTACTTGTCGGACGACCCGCGCCATGTCCCGCACGTGGACCTCATTCCCACCATATCTACCGGCAGAGACATCTACAGCCAATCGAACGCGTGATCATTTCCCTACGGATGCGTGTGCGCATGCGCATGCCCGCCTATCATACCTACGTAGAATTATGCATATACGTTCTCGGTATGTATGCATGTATGTACGTATGTGTGAAAGTTATGTAAAATTACACTATATAAGACCATATACACACCTATAGAGCAGCACGTGGACAAAGCGAGACAGAGAGACAGAGAGGGAGAGAGAGAGAGAGAGACAAACAAAGAGAGAGAGAGAGAGGGAGCAAGCGAGAGTGGAACCAGCTTATGAGTTTGTTTGATCCTGCTGGCTGCTGGTCATAGAACGTTTTTTTTGTTCTCCGCCTCACGCAAACAAAACAGTTTGAGGATTCAATGGCACCGACTAGGCTGTTAAACTAAGTCAGGTTTCTCCAAACCAAATTTCTTTGACAGCAATCCCGGACTGTTTCATCCAAGAAAGGCAAACGGACTAAATTGGATGACTCAGCTCCGGAACACGAGTCATCGCAGAGTACGCTCCCTTCCATCTGCAGCTTGCAACAGCCCAAGGTGGTGGCGAGGCCACGGCGCACCGCAAACCACAGTTTGATTGCTACGAAGATTGAGCCGCAGGTACATGTTCACTTTCCAAATGCTACGCGGGAGGACACGGGGCGCCGTGGTCTGTGGCCAAGACCGATGGAACACTAGTTCAAACCATCAAGAAGGGTCTTCAAATCATACCAAAGACTACGGACTGTGTCCGTCCTTCGCACGATGCATATAGCCCACACAGGAGTGTGCCGGCCTGCATGTGGCAACTCTTGCCTCTATCCTAGTGATGATAGTCGGCTTGCAACCTGGGCACAGTGGGCACCTTATTGATGCCCGGAGTCACCACGACCTTAATGATGGCCGCGACACATACAGCCAGCTTATGGAGGATTTATCTGGAAGTTGGGATACACTATGATACACGACTATGTGGGGAGGGCACATGGTTGCGGCTGCATCTCCACCATCCGTGACCGGATTCCCGGATGAGGGGCACCAGAAACCACGCGATACCACGAGTGACACAACCAGCTCCCTGCCACTGCTGCGACTGAAAGTCATACACCACGATGCAACAATCAACGGTATTCAACATGAATGTGCGTATCAACGGTGTTTGCTTGCATGCTGCCGATGGCGCAGGTGCGCTGTTCTGCTGCGGGCAAGATGCATGGGACTGGACGCCCCGCCATGCATCCTTGAACATCTCTACGAAGATGGATTCGCCCTCGCCATACCTCGGAAGCTGCTCCACTTGCACTGCGAGGCCTCCCATTACCGAGTACCACCACCGGACGATCCAGGTGAGCACGCCCGAGAGCCAGCATGAAGCAGTGAAGCCTGATTTCGAGCATCAACGGCCTGAACCACTGCAAGCGAACGTCCTCGCGGGTGATGGAAACAGCTCATGATAGCCAAATGTTGCGAACATCAGCTGAGCTGCAAGACTCCGCCGGCGACAACGAAGCCTTTTACCTGCGAGCCCTCGCGGTTGAAACAGCTGAAAACGAGATCCTCCATCTCTTTCCACCTTGGCAGCAACCGTTGCAGCTAAACAAAGGCGAACTACCTATAGTCTCCATTGTAGTTCCTTTTTGGGGTTACCTTATAGGATCCTAATTATATGTTTGGTTAGACCAGAAAAAGGAACTACAATGGAGACTATAGGTATGGCTCTGGCTCGGCTCATCTCGGGCCGCTTTCGCCAAGCGATCCCGCTAAGATTACCCCTGGAAGTCTCTTCTCTTCATGCCTGCTTACACAACTCTCGTTCAAGATCTGTGAAATGACGGAAGGGAAAAGTCAAGCCCAAGTCGTTTTTTGCTGACATCGCATTCATGCACGGAGCTTTTCCGACTGGCCGCTGTTCATACTGAGAGCCCTCGGCTGGTTGACGCCGCAGGTAGTCAGAGTCCTGCGGAGCGGGCCCAGGATTCGCAGGGAAGCGTCAGTAACGGGAGTGCTACATCGCATGCCCACGGCGCTCGTGATTCATGCTGTGCACAGCATCTGCAACCAGATTGGGTATATTACAGTAAATTATACTCATGAAATGACAGTCCTTCAGGGGTGCTCCGGCCACCTCAGGCTTCGTGCCAGACCATACCATTGCCTGAGGCATAACCAGTCAACCAAAAGTTTAGAAAGCTACCTGGCGTTACCCCCGTATGTCTGGCTACGTTTCGGGAAGAACTTTGTTTCCGGTGTCAGTATCGGCGGCATTTGCAGCTGCATACTGACGATCTGCATTGCCCTCTTGTTCTTCCCGTAACATGTCGGCAAAGGTCTGATAAACGCACTTCAGACTGCCGCCACCCCCGCTTCTGTGCAGTACGGGCGTACTCCATCTGATAGCACTTGGCTACGACCGGAATCAAAGTGCCTTGTCGCATCTCACCACACCTCCCTACCGGAAAACCCTAGCGGCCCTTGTCCAGCACTTTTCCGCGGTGCACATGTGCCTTCTTGCTTCTCGCTATTGGAGCCCGGACGAAGAAGGGGGAGCAAGTGCTGTGCACTCGGAGCAAAAATGCCGTGTCCCTCCCAAGTCGGGTTGAACTCCTATTTCAACGTGCCGGATAAACGGGTGCTGTTCAAGTGTCAGCCCCTTCCGTATACTATGATTGACACAACTACACAGATGATTGCAGCCACCATCGTCAGCGAAGGCGATTGGCCTGACGCAAGGAGGCGGTAGACACCAGAGGACCCTCAAACATCCAACTCCAGTTGGCACTTGGCCCATGAACGTCCTGAAGCAATAAACCTCCGGGATTGGCTTCCCATGACTCAGCTACTAAATGCTCCGCGTATGCTTCTTTCCACAAACCCTGCCATCATGCTCTACTGCACAGACGTCTATGCCATTCTATACCTGCCGTATCCTGCCTTCCATCTCAAATTCCGCAGGCTCATTATTCAAACCGCTCCTCTGAATGCTGCTGCTAGCGCTGATTCCCGCAGGCCTGTTGCCACCGACGTCGCTGCGCATGTCAGCACAATTGAGATGGGCTTGGCGTAGCCGTAGAGTATGTTGTCCGCCTGCAAGGCCAGGGCCGGAACTGGGCGGCTTGGTTTAGGGTTTAGGGGTTTAGGGGTTTATAGGGTTTTTTGTTTGAGGTCTTCGCTTCAGGCTGAACCGACTTCAAAGATCAGGCAGATGCAGAAGGGCCTCAGGCAACCTGCGATCTGCTAAGTAAAGACTGGGGCAGATTTCGTTAGTTTTTCCGAACTACTTGAAATTCTTGAAGGGAACATGGCATCACGAGGAAAGCCTAACTTACTTGTGCCTTTGGGAGAAAGAGAGGTGGCACGGCAGGAACAGGAGGGCGGTACGAAGCCAACCAGTCGGCGTCGGTTTTCTCTTAGCAGAAACAGCTAGGACTCGGAGGTTTTGTTGCCTCCCGCAGAAGCAATCTCATGCGGGGCAGGGGCAGTCTCTTTCTGGGCGAGACTCAAGACTCAGACTGGGAGAGGTTGCTTCGGAGAGGAGAGAGGGGCACTGGCCAGCAAAGGTTTCCGCAGCGAAAAACACCCAGCAAACGTGGGGGAGAATCAAGTAAAGTCCTGCCATCACAGGCCACAACAAACTCGGAGCGGTGAGCTTAGTTAGCCGCCAAACGGACTGTGGCCGGCCGGGGACCAAGAAACCAGCTGTTCCAGCAGCTTCCTTGGGGTTTAGGGCCCTCTAAACCAATCAATCGATTGGACAAAAAAGGCACGAATATATGTGCACCTCAGAATGCTGCCAGGTTGCATATTTCAGGCACGATGGGATGATGATGCAGTTCAAGGTCTTTAAGGCCACGATCACCTCATGATCAAGACGGATCGATCTTGAGGCCAAGCCACACACACACACACAGTCGCGTGCAGGGCTTTTCTCTGAAACGTATGGGCAATACTTTCTCTGAACGTAGCCACCTGCATGCAGCAACAAAGGGGGATTGCAGTATAAGTTGCAGCTTCGGAGGATCCGCCTAGTGCTGATGCTCTTGCTTACAGCAAGATGCCCAAACTTGCGCTTAAAAACCGCAACTGGCAATCTCTCTCTCTCTCTCTCTCTCTCTCTCATTGCTTTGCTTTGCTCGGGGTCTGAGGCGGGAGCAGTCCTCCTGCCCCGCGCAGAAGCGCTAGCCCATCCAGTATTTTGTGTGGATGGGCTCTGCTGTACAACAACAGGTTCCATGCAGAGGTTGTGGAAGTGGGTTCCCCTATTTCAACAAGGGCGTAGATATGCAGTAGGTTCTTGGGTGTCCCACTCCACTTCGAAACACAAGTTTGCAAGTCGTGGGCTCCCGGGCTGTCAGAAACTAAAGTGCAGCACAACATGAAGTAGTCTTTCTCTCTCTCTCTCTCTCTCTCTCTCTCTCTATCTCTCGCTCGCTCTCTCTCTCTCTCTCTCTCCGTCTCCGTCTCTCTCTCTCTCTCTCTCTCTCTCTCTCTCTCTCTCTCTCTCTCTCTCTCTCTCTCTCTATACTCAACTTAGGCGACAATCTAAGAGTCCCAGATGCCCAAACGAAGGCGTTAAAGCCCACTGTAGCTTCGGCCAGCGAGGGAAGTCCGGGGCCAGTGCCCAGCACGATCATCCTTTCATGCGCGAGTTGAAGTTCCAGTTGAAGTTCCAGGCATCTTCACGGTTTGCACAGGTTTGGATCTGGGAATCGCGGGTCTGGAGGTTTTCGTGGGAGAAGATCCTACAACAGAACCTCTGACTCTTTGGCCTCCGGCTTGAGAGCGGTTTCTTGCAAACGTACAGTAGTGAACCCATAGTGGACCCATGCGTCACGACAAACTCCGTGCTAAGTGACGGGCTTCCGCTCGGGCCTGTGAGCCCTCCTCAGATCTGACTTCCTTGCGCCTCTTCTGCGCCAATTCGCAGATGCAAGCGCCAAGCGAGTTGGTTCACCATCTGAATGCATCCATGTGCTCAGTTTTTGCCGAAGGTCTATAAACCTTGCACAGACTTGCCAAACTATGCACGTAGTTGATGCAACCCTTGACTTCTTAACAAAACTATGCAACCCTGCACTTGCTGCATGCTGTGTTGATGAAGTGACCAAGGCCACGTCCCACTGTTGTTGCGTGCTCTTCAATTGTGTTATGACTCTGTAGCCTGCCGTGCTCATTGCGCAGCATGTGTACCCTGCCAAGCAATGAACCAACTCCAGCTCAAGGACTTCTGGACCCAAACCTGGGGAATCGGAGTAAGTCCGAGTCCGATGCCGGATCGAACCAACCAAGTCGTCTCGGGGTCTGCTTGCAAGCTAAAGCTCCCCGCCACTTTGATAAGGATGACCCACAAGCAAATCCAGGTGGTAAGCTGCAGGTTTGTGACCCACTCGTCCTTGTCTTCCTGGGACTGCAGTTGTGGCATCGTTTTTACCATCGTGGGTCGACATGCTCACCCTTCTTAGTTCTTTTGAAGAAGGCTCGCGCTTGGTAGGCTCCCTTCGAATAACAGAAACTGGGCATTCACCCTGCAAGCTCGCTTGACAATTCGCGACGATGTTAAAGCGTCCTTGAGGAGACGCTCGTAGAAGACATTGGGCAGCGCGGAGAGCAGGGCTGAGAGCACCTTCCGTGCGATTCATGACTCCGGCAGAACGGGCCCTGAAATTACGATATCTGTGGCTGTGGCGGTGGTACCGTAATTATGATGCAGCTGAAGAAAAGCATAGCCAGCTACTCCTACTGCTGCTTATTCTGCTCCTGCTGGTGTTGCTGCTGCTACTCCTGCCTCCTACTCGTACCCCCGCTAGTACTATCCGCGCCACTGCTCTCTCCACTCCTGCTACGACCATGACTGCTGCGATGACGACTATATTGACTACATGCTACATGCGCCAAACTACATGCTACCTACTGCCCGCTACCTGCTATGTTCTCCCTACTAGCTACTGCCACTGCGACGACGAGAACCACTGCTACCACATTACTACCGGGTCACTACCAATTGTGCGCCGCAGCTACGATAACACTACCGCCACAGCAACAAATCAAAACTGTCTCGTCTGGCTTGGCCAGGTTGAACAGGCTAACGGCTGCATTTGACACAAGAAACAACAATGAATTCCCTCTCTGCAGCCGATGGCTGATGTCTGCCATGACACCGTCAAGCCGGCGCCCAACCACGGAGCTGATCCGCCTGAGCCATCGAATTCACTGATTGTCTGATTGGCCACAGGCAGCATGAGCACGGTAGTCAAAGGCAAAAGACTGCAGCGTCGACTTCACAGGGCTAGTGGGATTTGCTGCTCAGGCTGAGGTTCCTGTCAGACCTTGCAAGGCTCACCGTCAATGTTCACCCTAACAACACCCTAACCTTCCTGGGATAAGCTCGCGTCAAGAAAAGAAACCTGCCCTCCGAAGGAACTCGCAGTGAGGCCATGCTGTGAAAGAGTCCGAAATGAGAGGCACCGTCGGTTGTAACAAAAGCTGTCCCAGACCAAGCGGCTCAAAACCGCAGGGCCGGAGACTTCGGCCAACTGCGTAAAAAGTGTTCCTGCATGACTATGCACGAAGTGGCAATGACACCTAAATGTGTCTGATGCTCCTGCGCAGCTCGAATTCGCCGTGGAGCGCCGAACGCATGAGGTATTCAAACATCATACAAGCTGGTTACGCATACAAGATAGTCGCTCAAGCATGGCCGTGCACGTGTGCCCTTGTGCAACGCCCGTTCGTCATGGCCACCCAATTCCCAAGCTGCATGGTGTTTCCAACAGCAGGGCCCCGCCTAGGAGCAGCAGGCCCAAGGCGACGATCTGCATGCTGGAGAAGCTCTTTCCAAGCATCTGCGACATGAAACCCGCAGTGAAGATGAGCTTGCTCTGACCTTCGAAGCATTCCGCGTTTAGCTTTCGATGCAAACGCAAGCATCTAGCTCAACACTCAGATCCTGTCACCATCTGTTCAAGTTCAAACGATTGGTTTCCTGCTGGAGCACATGAAGCAGAATTCGACGTAACCTGGGAGCTGTACCCCGCCTTGGGTTCGGGGAGCTCCTGTGATGTCTTGTGCTCAGGCCCCAGGGCGGCCACAAGCAGGTTCCATGCGTTCCCAGCTCCGGTGGCTGTTCTGACCGTAACCCCCAGTTAAATCACAAGCATGACTGGCGGTCACAGGAGCGCCCCTTGCTTCCAAGCAGCTCAATACCTGGTATGTGGCAGCAGAACAATATTGAAGGCACACGAAGTAGAGGAGGTTCCTGAGAACGGGCCAGCTGCAAGTGCCCTTCGGCCTTACCCCGTTCTTGCTGGTCAACCGACTAAGTGCATGCAAGGCACTGCGCTGCGTATAGCAGGCCAACCCACCACATGGAGAATGGCTTTCGGGTGAAGGCCGTCCTGATTCGCAGAATTTCGTAACTAGCCTCATCCCGATAAATCGGCTGAGCGATGTAGCCTGATCCGGGACATGTTAGCTGTCTGAACCGGATTCGAGGCTCAGCCAACATTCACGGTCACTACGAAAAAACAGTGGAAACCGGCCCAGTTTGTCGCAAGGCGCCTGATGGTCGGTACTATTTGCTGCGGTGACTTGATGTAGCCGATGGCTACGAGAAGCAACCTTGGCATTTTGGACAGCAGAACGATCACAGTCACAGAGTCGCTGTGCAAAGGCTGACGAAATGAGCCAACAAAGCGCAATAACATACGTTATAAACGTACAGCAGCTGGGGCCTTAGGCTGTAACCTGTGTCTTGCATCGTGCCTGCTTTGTCGCCCGAGCTCCCTGTCCCTCCAAAGCCTTCGCCTAAACCCATAATGCTCGGACGGGTAGCGGGAACTTGAAGATCTCGCTCAGCAATGTAACGTTTGCCCCGGAGTAGGACAAGCTGCATCGCGCCTCAAGGGTCGGCTGTGGGCGTGGTAGCAACATCGAGCAACTCTTTTTGAGTTTGTACCACTCCGTGTAGAAGGCTCACAAGTACTAATGCCACTAATGTTTGCATGAATTCTTCTTCTTGATGCTGTTACTGTGCTATTCTGGTTGTTGCTGCTATCCTGCTACTGCGATTGTTGCGATTATCTTACTGGCGCGGTTTAGATTTCCAATAGAGGGGTTGCGACAGACATCGACAGGCTCAACAGGCTTCATTGACACCGGTGGCCCTCGGGCGCAGGCGTGAAAGTGCTTCCGCAACAGGAATCACGTGTCTTCAGCAGAGGTTATGTAAACCCACCTGAATGGTTGGCCGCTGGGCAATCGACTGCAGGGCATGCCCGAAGGCTGACATAGCCATCTGATGCCGCAACACTGTCGACTATGAAAGCAAGGATACAATGCGTAGCCGGCCGAGAGCGAGGCCTTGACTACTGACTACTCCAAATGTTTGCGCGATTGCGGCGGTACGCCGACAAGTTCTTCCGGTGTGTAACAGCATTCTTAACATTTCTTAACAGCACCGCTGATCCTCTACACCGACAGCTGCATCAGGAGCCTTCGTCCACCAGGTCAGCGCATCCGCAGAGCATTTCTGGAAGACCAGGATGATTATACACCTGGGATCGCTTCCACTGTCACCGTCACTGTGGCTTTGCAAGTTGTTCCACCCTAAGCCAGCAACGACTGACGTTGCGAGACCTATGTTTTTGGCCGACGCACATGCGCTCCGGTGCCCGCGCTTCCCAAGTGAAGAACATCATAGACAGACTTACGCACATATGCACGCAACGATCATATGCCTGATTTGGCATGCATACAGTAACGGACCAAGCATACTCCTTCATGGAGACGATACATGTTTCAGTTCATGGTGTGAACTGGGAATAGTTCGTAGCCGCGGCATGTCGTGGTAAGGCCGTGGTTAAACATGCAGCACATGTTCGCGTCAGACCTACGCAGCTCTTGTTTCAACTCCGGGCCCTTCTTCGAAGCGCAGGTAGGAGTCTAGGGTCCATCGGTTTCCTTGCAGGGATTCTCCTCGACCACTTGTCAAAACTTGCCCCCGTCTGCCATAGCTCATGCTGGACTTTGAAGTCGGGAAGCCAAAGACCAGAATTTGTGTAGCCTTTGGGCCTTGCTCTAGACCGTGTGCCAATCACATCCTGAACCTGAACTGCAGAAGCTTCACCAAGGCTTTTCTGCATGGTGGGGCAGGTTGCTTCCGAAGGTGGCACTCATGCATTTTGGACCCTGTGCCAAGGCACAATGTCCCAGGTGAGGCTAGCCGGCGTATCCACCCTTAGCTGGCTTGAGTGTCAAGGGAACCGAGCTGCAAACCTCGGCAACCCCTTCGAGGCCTGCCCAGTACTTCAAACATTTCCGGAGCATGCATCACTCGAAGCATCATCGAAAGCGCTAAACCGAAGTATAGCTAGAGCAAACAACCGCTGCAGGTATCGAAACGGGGAGGTTTAGGAGGTTGTTGAGAAGACGATTCATGGGCCAGGCAGGCCAAGCCGCTAAGCCTGCTTGGTGAATGGTCCAAACGCCGGAAGAAATGAAACCCTGTCTTTCACCCCCTCAGCCCTAAGTCCGGGTTCAAGCCGAACAACTGACAGAACCGAAACAGCCGAAAACCGCTTCTCAAGCTGGCAGGAATCATCAACTTCGCCCATGAAGCGCAGCCCACTTAAGCCCTTCCAAGAGCTCCACTTTCCCCCCCCAACCGCCCCCCGGGCCAGGGCGCCATCGGATTGGCTTCCCGAGGCCTTTCGAGCTGCGAGGACGCCGGCCTTACTTTGCTTTTCACCCAGGAAAAAACTTCTCGTCTCTCCAATGTTTGGGCCTGGAGAATCTGACTTGCTTTGCTTTCTTCAGCTTCCGGATTTAAACTGGGGCCCTGGAACTCCACAGTTCGTTATCCGATTCTCTCCCTTCGCGTAGCAGAGCGAAGGTCTTCGGAGCTCCGTTCAACCGTAGAAGCCTGAACCAAGCAGGCAAGGAGCTGTCGCTAAACCACCAGCTGCAAGATATTCCAGGCTATGGTCGAAGGAACTGGGCGAATTCACCGCGCCAGACCTGCAACGCCACAAAGTCCTTGCCTTGTTTTACTAGGCTTGCTGGGTACTTGTAGTTTTACTCTATCTGTATCTGTTTTCGCTCTGTTGCTGCTTCCGTCTGTCTTTGCCTATCTTGGCTCCACGCATGGGGAGCCCGGGCAGCACAGCACATTGCAGCTCTTCCGGTTCGAACCAGTTCCGCGTCGCATGCTATTTGAGGTTTGGGAGCTCGTTCTACGGGGAGCCAGCGATCGGGAGGACGTTCAATAACATGAACCTGGAGTCGTGGAGGCCATATATAAACCCGAATCGAGGTATGTCAAGCCGCAGCACCTTCAACTCGGTGCTGGCTGGGATCGCAAATCGCAAATGCGGCACTCCCGGATCATCTTGGCGGATTAGATACATGACTTCATATGGCCACGCAAGTCCGCAGCAATCCCCAAAGCAACCAGGCATGCATACTCGAGCAGCCGGCCTACCGAGGTCGTGCATCTTTGACGGCCGGCCGGCAAAAACCGCCTGACCATGAACACAAGTGGCCTCAGGTGCCGGGGCGATTCTGAACCAGTGCGCATTGATTCTACACATACATACACCTTCAGATAAAAGCATACTTTACATAGATACACAAATACATGCAGACAGTCACCCGTACATCTAACACTCTAAGACACAGTCTGCAATCCCAGCGTCCCCGGCGCATGTAGACCTGCGAGTCACATGGCCCAGGTTGAAGGCTGGATGGACTTGATGTGCTGGATACTCGAGCACCCGAGGCTCAGCGAGAGGACCCGCGGATGTTTCGCGCTCCCACTCAAGCCTCATGCTGCCACTTGCTTGGAGGGCTAAGCCTTGAAGGACCTACGGCGTCCTGCGGGATATTAAGAAAGAGTGAAGATTGTTGACGAGGCGCAGGTCCGCCTCCTGCAAGAGCACCCAAGCCAGAAATGCCAGACCCAAGGGGTGGCAAGGCCATCGGCTTTTCCGGCTTCGCACAGGGCCGGAAGCCATTCGGCACTGGCCCATGGCCGTTGGCCGGCACACGGTGCGATGTGCCTTGTTTTGGAACTTGAGCCGAGTTGTCGCGTGGGCAGGCATCAAACGCCAGCCAAGCCATCTGCGAGACTACCCCAGCTGTCCGCACAATCGGGCCGGCACTTAGGCACAGTATGTTTCCGGGTACGAGGCCTGAAATGCAGTCCCCAACATTCTCGGCTAGACAACTTGTGGCGAAGAGACGATGTCTTGCAGATAAGGGTGCAGAGGAGATGGCGATGAACACGACGTCACTCTCAAGCTCGCCGTAGACTTTCGGTGGATTCGCCTGAACCGATCCACAACTCTATGAACTAGTGAGTGTAGTTGAAACCCATGCTGCTGTAGAAAAGGGAACTTACTTTGACATGATTTTACCGTGCACCTGCTGTCCCATCTTCAAAGACTCTGTGCCGAGCCTTTGGATCCACTTTCAAGGCATTGATTGCAAAGTGCAGATCTTCCAGCGTGCAGTCCGCAAGGCTGATGACCTTTTAGGAGCCGGGACTGAGCAGAAAGCTCGTGCTAGGCATGACGGGCACAACAGAACATGAAACCCGATGTCATAGATATGTTGGTTAAGTGTTTGTGATAAGCCAAGCGTCGGCTCGAGCTCCAGACTAAATGAACATGCTCCAGTAGCAAGCTCCATGCTTTTCTGCCGCGCACACACACACAACGCGCGACAAGCTGGAAGAGGGGTGCTTCACAAATGCCAGCCACGCTACGACCAGACGGCAAGACTGGATCGTCTCAGCCATCTTCTTGGCCTTGCAGAAAGGCAGGCGGCCAAGATCTTGCAAGTGACAATACAAAGCTTGCGTGCAGTGCGAGCTCTTGATGCAGCGCCACCATCCCTTGACATCGCAACTTAGCAGAGCCACCCTGTGAGACAACATCCCAAGTCACAAGAATCCCACCTTCTTGGGGTCATCTCGACAGACGATTCGCTTTACCTCGGCAACTAGAATTTCCAAGAGGGCTGTTCCTTTCGACATCTTTTGACTGCGGGGTTAGACTTAGAGGCTTTCGTTCACCTGTCCTGCCATACCTCGGGCCGGACTTAGGCGTTGTACCTGCTGCTGTGAACCATCTATCCAGGCATCAGGCTGAATCACTTCACCATGTTCACAAACACTTTTAAGCGCCGTGGGCTTTCTGCTTCGATCGATCATGTTGTTTGATTCACGGAGACGGTGAGGATACGAAAGAACCATAGGAACTCTTGTGATCATGGAACTCGAGCCTTCTCCGATGCCTTCACAGGACCAGGTTGCTGCTGCAGGTGCCTGGTCTGCCTTCGAGGCTGTTCCAAAGATGCGGTTCAAGCCGCCTGGGCACAACGGGGGGGGATCGAGGCTCCGAGTCGGCTCGGAGCTTCGGGCCGCCATGGGGTACTAAGATAGGGGCCTCAATAACTATGTAGGTTTTTGGGGTATATTATACTATAATCATAATTATGCCATATAAAGTGACAGGGTTCGATTTTGAGGTCGGAAATGAGGCCTCCTGATAAGCGCATGGTCTTGGAAGCCTGGTTCTAGGGCTGCAGATCTTGCTCATGGCAACGTACCAGCTGGAAACCAACTCTACCCTGGCTTCTCGAGGCAGCACAGGCAACTGCAAGTTAAAAAACGCTGCGCGCAGACAAACTTTGACTTGAGTGTCTAAATCCTGAGCTAGCCCTCGGTACGGGGGCTTGGCGCACTCGCAACAAAAGCAACAGGACAGCAAGGGGAGAGAGAGAAAAAGAGAGAGAAGCAGAGAAAGAGAAAGACACACAGAGGGAGGGAGAGAGAAAGAGAGAGACAAGGAGAGAAAGAGAGAGAGAGAGAGAGAGAGAGACAGAGAGAAGAAGAAGAAGAAGAGAGAGAAAGAAAGAGACAGAAATCGACTGTTGTCTCAGGCCAGCTACCTTCGGCTTTCCGAAGCTCCTTGACCAGCGCCTTTCCGATGTAGGAGTCTACGTTGTGTATGAAAATCCTGGCACGCGCATGACCCATGTCTGGTCATTTGTGGACCATATGGTTTTGACTTCCGTCGTCGGCTTGCATGACTGGCACTGCATCTCCATAAAACAACTAGGATCTCTTCATCTTTGAATATGTCCGGCACACTTAGTAGTAAAGGAAACCTAACCAGGTGTCGAAACTCCTCAAGGGGAATTCAATACTGGGGCCTTGAACATATAAACCTGCACTCCCACGCGTCCTCATTCGCCCGTTGCCTTGGCAGGAGGTGGGTGTTGCTGACTGTTGACAGCCGGGCCAGCTGTCAAAACTAGATAAACTGAGTGACAGCATGACTGACACTTCTAAAGGTACTCCACATCCTGCGGCGGGACACATGAGTTGTCTATACCGCGCCAAGGTGCGGATAATGAGAAAGTATGGGAAAATACTGGGCTGTGCTAGTTGGAATGAGACTTCGGGAGGAGCAGACACCGAAACTCATAGTTGTCTAGCTAGTCTAGTTGCGCTGAGACTTCGCGGGCAGATGCGCTATCTTAGGCCGCGCAGCTGCACTGCAAACCACAGCTTCTTGCACCCAGGCCACTGAGCTTGGCTGGGCAAGCGGGCTGGCAGCGCTGCTTGAGCCACTTACATCACAACAGGCATTTCAGCAAGACCTCTGCATGCACACGCACGTGTATGCATCTGTGTCTGTGAATACATCTGTCTGGGCCTGTTTGTCGGCCTGTCTGTCTACCAATAGCAGAATAGCATGCAATGCCCCATGCAGCAACTTGAAGCCCTGCAAAGTGCACAGGCTTCGGCGCTGGAACGCCTCTGTGTGCCGCAGCCTCAGTGGATTAAATGAATAAACAACTGTAAGCCGGCGCTTCTGTGAAGGGAGACTCCCATGCTTCATGCTGTAGCACTTGGGGGTCAAATTCTCTCAAGAGCCACTGCTGCCTGCATCAATTTCTGTGGGCTCCAACAGGAGTCTGTCCGGCTGTGAATAGTGGGGCCAGGTTCCCGGCATTGCCACTGGTCGCCATGATGTGGCGCGCGGGCGTCTGCAACCTCAGAAGGCGTGGCTACCATGCATCTACTATCATCTACTCAGAGTCTCGTGATGTCATCCCCCTTGTTGCGGCGGGCCCCCTTTATATTTGCCCCTGGACTCAAGTCCAGCCAGACCTCGACCTGAAATCAACTCCAAGTGCTGTACTGTAGCTGGCGCCGCAACCCTAACCCTAGACGTTGGAGTCCGTTGCAGGAAGTAGCAAAGTACCGTCGCGCGCGACCCCCCCACATATAGTTGGAAGGTTCTGAGGTTGCTGCGTGATCGTGGTCGACTGAACATGCACAGCCTGTGGAACAAAGTGGGGCGTGGGCTCTAGCTTAGATGTTCAATCAGCAAAGAACGGGTTCCAAGGTTCAACCTGTCTTGCAGAATCTGAGGGCAACCGGGAGGGCTTTTCAATGGCCAAAATCATGCGCATAATGGTACTAAGAGCCTGCTTAGCTCCCACTGGGCTTTTGAAGGATGGAGCAGGGCCTAGATCTAGAGAAGCGCTTCGTCTTATGAAAGAAGCCCTGCGCATAAAAAACCTTTAAACAAAATTGTTACGCCGAAACTTGCCAGTTGTCAGACTTCGAAACGGCGACAGGATGCACTGAAACCCTCAACTCTCAAGACTGACATCTATGTGTATGTTGAGCTTCTGTCGCTGTGAGGCAGAAGCATCTTGCTCCAAAGATCCCGAAAGCGTGGAACTTGAAACTATGGAGGAAGGGGACAGGCAGTATGGATCACGGACCGTTTAGTGCAATCTCGTCTGAACCTTGAGGTAAGAAAGAACTATGCTATGCAGAAGCGATAGACCCTGGACGAGCAAGTCGTGCGATCGGCGGCATACCCTGCTCGAAACACCCGATGTCTGAGCTTAACAGGCTCAGGTCCCCTAAGTTCTGAACCCCTAACTGCCTAAACCCCAAACCCCTTTTCCACAGGCTTGATTAGTGCTCGCCCGAACCCCTAAACCCTACAATGGTTGCCGGCACTTCAACCACTGACGGACGAGAAGACCCTGAGAGGACGCGCCTGGCCCTGGCCCGGGCCCTGCTGACCCGGAGGCCGGGTCGGTCGCACGACCTCCTGGCACGGTGAGGCTTTGGAAAGAGAGCTCCTATATACATATACATATATATATATATATATATATTTATTTATTTGTTCATTTATTTTTATATGTGTGTGTAGGATAAACAACCCTACTACATATATGTATGCAGTATACGCACTCGCACATAACCATGCATTTCTTTATGTACATGTACACACACCGAAGATTTGCAAACAAACAAAGCCCTGCATATGTGTATGCATGCATCTGTGTATGTTTATATATACATATGTTGTGAGAAAGATTTCAAATTCTGTCGTCGCACTGACATCTTCGGGACTCGTCTAAACACAGCGTCCAATGGCCAATCGAAGCAAACATCGGAGACATGCATGTGTGTTGGGCCCAGCCTCCGCTCTGGACACACGTTATGGACGCAAAGCACAGTCACTGGCAGTCACCGGTTGTTTGGGAAAGCAGGATCTAAGCTATGCACAGCTGCTGTATTCCCGCTCCTGCGGCTCCGGCTCCCATGGTGGCAATGACGGGAGACCTTTTTGCTCCTGCGGGAAACCACGCGGCTTGAGCATGCAATGGAGTTCGTGCTGGAGTGCAGGGAGCAGAGGGACATGGTTGTAATTCTGCTCCGGTAAGTTACGGGGTGAATCTCACATGCCACCAATATGCTGATTCTCCTCGTCGTTCCTGTTGTTGAATCTTGTGTCACAGCTGCTGCCCTGAACCCTCTAACTATATACGACTGATCAAAGCGACTGCTGGTTGAAATCCCCAGCACCGTTGCTCAAGCTTGCGCATTCTCAAGGAACTCAACGACCTCTCGGCAAGATTCGGCAAGCATACGGGTGGCCACAGCAAGGCTGTTTCACTTGTGGCGGCGCTTTTGCCTCCTTGAAGCCTTTTTAGGCCGCTGCTTGGAGAGCCGGTGTCTCCGTTCCCTCTCATGCTCCACTGCTTGTGGCAAGAACACATTGAAGTAGAAGTGCCTGCAGGGCCATGCGACTTGGCTGACTTGGATCTTTACACGTCTGCAGAGCCGCGGTGGCTTTCCAAACCACGCCTCAAAGACGGGAACATGGCCTTCTCCCAAAGTTCGGCATCGAAAAACTCTCGCCGACAGGTCTGCTCCGCCTCAGCAGCAGAATTTTGCAGAAGCTGTAGACACATGCTGAAGTTGCTGACATCCAACACTACACAGACTTTTTCGGACCCGGACGATGCCAAGTGTCACAACTCAACATCTATATCCACGGATGAATCAGACAGTGTTGCTGTTAATTGAATGTAGGTGCAGACGTGAAGGACGGGAATGGTGCTTTAATTTGGGCTGCCTTGTGCCATCAATATTTTTTGGGCTCTTCGCCAGAACTGAAGTCTGAAGACGAGATGCAGGAGTCCAGAAGAAAACATCGCACCAGGGAATTGCAGTTCCCAACGCGGCAGCAGCCATGCGCATGCCTCGGCTTCACCGACGTAAAGAAACCCTGGCCGTAGACTGAGCTAGTTGTGAACCCAGCATTGGCAGACTGCAGCACCTGTCAGACATACTCTAATTTCACAACATGGCGCAGCCATGGACTTGGTACTTCCAATCCATCGGGAGATCCTGCCCAAAGCATGTTTGCTTCTGGCACTGCGCCCGTTCTTGAGGCGTCTTGCTCCCGGAACCACACTAAATACAGAAATCGCATCCATGCTTCGAGTCCCAGAATGCTTCGAAGCCTCACAACCTATCTGCATGGATGCAACGATTCCATGAGTCCGGCACAGCATTCGAGGTTGGTTCATCTTGGGATGTCCTCGCTTTGGAAGACTCCGTTCCACTCCTTGGCGGTCTTGATCTCCAAGAGCCCCTGAAACAAGGGCTCAGGACTGCTTTTATTGCTGCTTTGCTTGTCTAAACTGAACGTCGCATGCTGCATGACTTCCACCGCTTCAAAAACTTAGAGGCGGCTTTGCAACACGGAATGTTGGGCGAACCTTTACTCAAGCTGTATGCGCCTACAGCCTCTCTGTAGTGGGTGCAGTTGCAGCTTCAGCCGGTGGGAGGAAACAAGCCCACAGCCTTCGAAAGGAACAAAACTCCATCGATCCTCCGGCTTCCCTTGGAGGATGCACAGCCCATCAGGCGAGCCGGCGAGCCATGGTTCTTGCAGCCACACGCAAAGCCCTCCAGGGAAGTGGAACTTTACAAGCAGGACAGTTTAGCGGGTCCTCGTTGCAATTATACTGCTTGGCTGTTACAAGCTGTGACAATATCCATTGCTGGCTTGCTGCTATTGCGAATCGAACTCTTCGTGCTTCTACGTAGAAGTGCGTAGTAGCAGTCGCAGTAGTAGTAGTTGTAGTTGTAGTAGTAGTAGTAGTAGTAGTAGTAGTAGTAGTAGTAGTAGTAGTAGTAGTAGTAGTAGTAGTAGTAGTAGTAGTAGTAGTTTTTTGTCACCCACATGGCACGCCAGTGACAGCTCCGCGGGACTTAAATGGTAACTAGTCACGAGGATATCCCAGCTTCAGAGAAAACAGCGAAACCAAAGGTAAGGCCAATCAACACACCGGGACATCCATCGATCTGGTTTCACTCTCTACACACACTTCAGCTGCCCAGGGCATTCCAAACGCTTAATCAGCCGAAAGCAGCCCCAATAAAACAACAAAAAAGGAGTAATCCCCATAGTCCCGAAAAGGTTGCCCCCAGCAGCAGTGTGTTCATGCTCACGACATTGGACACTACAACAGTTCATTGACTACATCTGTACAGTTACATCATCAAGAGAAGGATCGGTGTACGTGTAGTACAAAACAACCGCCAACAACCAAGTTCAAGAAACCGTGTACAGGCTCACCACAGCTCACCGCAATCCGGACATACATTCCTTCTCTCATATACCCTGTTTCTAAACAGCGCGGTGGAACAGTACGAGCCACCTTGCATGCAAAGGCTGATTTCACTGTCCGTGAAGTACGAATTGTTGGTTCTTCATGACTGTAGTAGTAGTAGTAGTCGTCGTCGTAGTAGTAGTAGTAGTAGTCGTAGTCGTAGTCGTAGTCGTAGTCGTCGTAGTAGTAGTAGTAGTAGTAGTAGGAGTAGTAGCAGTAGTAGTAGTAGTAGTAGCAGTCGATCGTCGACGTAAGAGTAGTACCACTACGACGACGACTACTACGACGACTCCTCCTCTTCCTGCTACGACCACACAACGCCACGCTGCCGCCACCGCTATCGCCGCCACCACAACCAAACACTTCACGACGACAGCGACGACGACGAGCAAGAGCCGTCGCTCTCGTCGCCGGCCGTATCCGAAAAGAAGAAGAACCCGGTCTGAAGAACGCTTTTTGTTGAGCCTAGTGCTTCGACTTGGAGATCCAGTTCGCAGGCAGACTCGGAGGCTTCCTCAGGGCTGCGGCGCGTGCTTGGGGCTTTGAAAGTCCTGAGAGCTTAAAGCTTTTCGTCCGGGGGTTCACTTCTGCCCTATGACTAGCTCCAGAGGTGCTTGACATGTCCCTGTGCAGCTGTCCAACGGCGCATCGGCGGCTGCAGCTGTTAAGAACACTGTCATCAATTATCAAACACCTTCTGGCCCTTGTTTAGGAGCTTAACTCGTCAGGACTTGCATCCTCAAGGAACCGTCAAGCTCACATACCTTGCAGCTGTCCTTACGAAGAGGCTGAAAGGCTGCAATATGTTCCAGTTTTTACCGACCAATCATCTTAGCACAGCCCAGCAGCCGCCCTGCGCCAGGAGATGTAAGCCTGACAATTGAAGCAAGTCCAGGTCTTCTCACTCGTTGAGTGTGTTTTCCTATCCGTAAGCAGGAGCTCTGGGGCTCTACACAAATAGACTGGCATGTGCTACTACTATTATTACTATTACTACTGTAAGATGTATCCAGTGTAGGGATTTCGCCACCGGGCCCTAGAACTCAAACGTGCGTAGGAGCAAACATGCATCTGCTCACACTTACACGGATTTCCTTTCTGCCACTGCGTCTCTCGCGGCATCCGCTTCCGTATCTTCGAATTCCTATGATGGCCTTCGGGGAGTTACGGTATTGCTCATATCCTCAAACCCTCGCCTCTCTGGCGACATCCTCGTGCTGCACACCGAAGCGTGTTGCCTGCGTGGCCCGGCCCTCGGGCAGGGCGAGCCTAAGCCAAGAAGCGTGTTCCCCTAACATTCCCACCGCAGTACTCACCAGAATTCTTACAAGCACGGCTGTACCATTGCAGCAGTGACGGAAATACTAGACAGCCACAGGCGCATGTCGGCAACCACCACCTTTCGGTTGCTTCGCGCGCCAGGTGCAGAGCAGGCCGCTGCGAAGCGGGAGGCAGTCACCTGTTCAAACATCAGGAATGTGATGGTGCCTCAAAGAATCTGAACATCCTGGGCCTATCTCGCTGGATGTTTAGCCAGGGCAGGAATGATGATGTAGGCTGCGAGGCTCCACACACATGCTTCTGCTTCTGCCACTTCTGTTGCTCCACCCATGTAATGTCATCTGCAGCTTGCAGTTGTGCAACAACAAGTGTTCTTGTTGCTGCATTGTGGCTGCAAGGAACCTACATGTTGCATCTGAAGCTGCGTCGATGCAACTCGCTATACTCAACGTTCTGCCGCGGCACTCTGTTCCTTCGTGCAGCGATCCAGCTCGGATGTGCCCGGCCATCGGGGTAGCGCTGCGGCATCTTCCTGAGAGAGGATCTCGAATCCCAACACACATGGCCCAAGCTGTTCGGTCTCCACATGACTAAAGATGACAGAACATCACGCCCTGGTGGCGTGCTTTTTCGTGTGTTCGTGTTTTCACTTGCACTCTCAGATGGCAAGCTCAGCAAGCTCTTCGTTTCCCGCAACATTGTTTTAGCAGCATACAACATTTTACGACGTGTTCTGAATTGACAACAAATTCCACCAAACCATTTGAAATTGTTCGGGCATAACCGAACACCGGTCCGAGAGAGATAAAGTTATGGGACAAACTTTCAAGGACATAAGGGCATGGCCTTAAGGTGTGGCTCTAGGCCTCTAGGCCTTGGAGTATGGAGGCCTGGAGCCCTGGAGCCCTGGGGGGGGGGGGCGCCAAAAAAAAAAGAAAAAAAAAATCTTGTGTGCAAAATCTCTGGCCAATTTTTTTTTTTTTTTTTTTTGGCGCCCGGCCCCCAGGGGCCATCCGGAGGGCGCATGTCTGTAAGCAGAGGATGCCTGGAGCCTTCGGCCTTTGGCACTCCCAATCCAGCGTTGCTCAATCATTTCAAGGTTTCCAGTATGCCACCAATCCTGTCCTGTCCAATGAAACATCCCTCTGTCAAGACTTTACGCTTGCTAGTGTTGTCCACCACCTAGGAAAGCGGCTCCAACACCTGAAAACTGTGACAGAAGTATGATGGGTAATTCATTCTACACAGTAAAAGTATGATGGGAATAAGATCCTTGTACCGGGACCCAAGTTCAGAAGGAGTTATTGGGCCTCGAACCCAAATGCATATGATGGTCCTAACCGTCTCAAGAGATGCTGGGTGGCGAACCCAAAACCTTAGACTGTAGAAGATATTGGACCCTCACCCAGAAACTTAGACAATGCAGTAAAAATTGCAAGCTACAATATCCTTGTTACATTTGAGGCGGAACATATATAGTTACCTGGAAGCCAACCTTGGTATATAGATGTTTGTACCAACATATATATGTATGTATCTATATACACGTCTGTGTATGCATGTTGGTATATGACATGAAGGCATGCATACACACCTGCATATGGATGTGTAAGCTTACATACACACATGCTCATGCTGTTTCCATGTTCATGCTTTTCCCATCCTTATGCACACATACATATATGCTTAATACATATGTACATACACGGGTATATACGTACATACATAAGTATCACGGAAACATGTGCAATATTTCTGAAATAAGCGAGCATATGTGTATGCAACAATGAGGCATTTAGGCAGCCATGCACTGAAAGGAAAATGGAGGGCCGCAGGCTCCTATCCCAAACCCCGAAAGGGCATGGTGGGTACAGGATGCGGAATTTCAAATCTGTGTGGAAGCACGTCCTCCACACCTGTACATATATACATCTACATATACATGTAATATATGTGTGTGTACATATATATATATATATACATAGATATGCACGTATACAAGTTCATGCACTCTCGAAGCCTATGCAACCATATACAAGTTCGTGAACTTTGGAAGCCCATGCACGCGCACACACATGTATATGCATAAATCTATCTCTATATAAATATGCACATATAGATAGGTTTTTTTGCGATATACATGCAAGTACCTGGGTGTGTAACCGCAAGGCCACGCTGCAGTTGCACACACGATGTAAATTGGAACCTTGCAAGCATATTATGGGTGGATGACACATGTATACATGCATACACACACATATAACTTTGTGTGCATCACGGAAATGGGTAATTACATTGTCTTTGGGATTTACATGGAAGTGGGTGGATGATGGCGAACAACAGGTCTTCAATAGAATAACTGATTAACATGCCCTATTACACCGTAAGCTAATCCTTAAAAGGTGTGGCCCACCCAGCCAGAAATGCAAATCACATTAGGGGATGCTGGGAGACCACCAGAATAAAAACCAGAGTCTGAACATTTTAGTACATATCACGGGCTACACTTATCCACGAAAGATATATAGTGTGTAGCGAACCTGAGTACCGAAAACGATGACGTGTGTCCAGAGCATCCAAACTCTACTGGAAGACATTCGGCTGAAACGCAGTGCCGCGCATGGATGTAATGAGCCAAACCCCCGTAGAAGTTCGATGAGTGGCGGAACCACAACTGGATCCTCAAATCGATGACTGCTTTCCCAAATACAGGCAGACTAGAAGATATTGCACTCTCAATCCAAGGCTTCAATAGTAGATGACGGGGTAGCAAACCTTCAAAGGTGGCAAACCCCTCAGAGCTTTATAAGTGTAGCCACGGCTTCAGATGCGGTTGTATATACACATCGATGACGGTCTGCCTGTCAATATAGTCGCTTTTATGCTGCAGCCCACGCCACAATTTCAATCCCTAGTTGAAGACATGATATATACATTAAGTTACAGGTCAGCATTCGTATGCACATGTAAATATACACATTTCCATAAACACGCATCCATTAAAGCCAGATGCATATGTGGATAGACACCCAGGGGTTGTGATGGATTCTTAATGATTTTGACATGATATGCCAGATCACGCACCTCAACTTCAATGGAGATGCTGGATGGCAAACCTCCTCCCTCTTCCCCAACAAACTCCTACTTCGTGACATGCCCAAGACTCAAAATCAAGGGTGCATGCCTGGATGAGGCAACACAACGCTTAATATTCTGGGTGCATAAACTCGTGTGAAAACCTCTAAATTACCGAGAAATACACGCCACCAGGGCGTTGCACTCTCCAGAACATCACGCTCCCAGAAGGAACCGAAAAAAGGCGGTCTGCCCCAGCCATGCGCGCAGCAAAACATGCTCCGCCACACGATTTGAAACCTCTCAGAAAGGAATTGAAAGCATCTTAACGAGCAGAGGGTCAGCAGCCTCCCGACATCCTCCTCAGAGACCTGGAGGCTGGAGAGTAGCTGCTCTCGCACACGCGCAGGTGTGGTGTCCAGCTCCTGAGTGGTTGTGATGGAGAAGCAGAGTGCCCACAGCAATGTCAACAAACTATGCGAATTCTCTGAAGCAGTTGCACGCGAAATCCTGGATCGCTGGCATAGGTGCAGAGAGTCTAACTTCGTTACATCCATGCCAATCTGTGCTGTCTATACTCGACCCGACGAATCATCAACTTGCCTGCCCATTTCATCCACGGCGCGTCCCCGTCTTCCTCTCCAATGTCTGGCTTCTCAGCGTCACGGTCGGAAGACGGCTCCTCTGCCGCGCATGAAAAACTCTATCAATTTTGGATGGACAACTCGAAATGCAGAAACAGGACACCCTGAGCCACCTTGGCTTCCCAGTGTGCTTGCAAGACATTGTTCCGCGGAGGAGCCGTTCCCGTTCCAGCTCTGCTTCTGCCCCCAAACCCCCAGGCCAAACTGCCTTGTCCTAGGTGGCCGGCCCACCACTGTAACATCATGTAACATCCACAGGTGCATGAATGCATCATGGATGGGAGTAAGCCTAGCCTAGGCACTTCTCCTCTGTATTTCAGCAGCGCTATTGCACTTCCGCTCAAGTGCATACGCACGAACACAGGTGGACCCAAATACATTCATTCATGCACCCCAAACCACATTCATGTAAAAGGCCAATTAGGGGCAAAAGCGACGAGCCTCCGCAGATGAGAGCCGACTACCCATCTCGGTCATCGGAGCGCTCCATGCTGGGCCCGATCTGAAATACACAGATACCGTTAAAACCGTCTGTAACGTCCCCTTCACCGGAAAATCGCGATTGATGTTCTGTTAGAGTGATGGATACCGTCACTACTTCAGTGACGCCAAATCTCATGATTACCATGCCATGAAAAGACATTGACATCTCTTGGGTCGGTACCGCGAAAAATACGGGATGCGAAGGAAAAGGTTACCGTTGGGGAACCCCTGGCATGGCACATGGGCTCGAATCCAATTAATATTAAGAATTCCAAGTTTCATCATGGCCTATAGCCTAGATGCGGCACAGCGCTGCCACATGCTGCCAGTTTCTCAGGAAATGCCTGAAAACACCGAGAGTGTTACTGTTGGGAAGGTTGAACCTGTGAGCCAGCCATGGCTTCGCAAAATCCTGGAGACGGAAGGCTTCGAATCCTACAGCTGCGACATCCTCAAAGCTTTATCACCCGACCCCACACTACCGGCAGATGTCCCGGTATGCGATGATCTGAGCTCGGAGGGCATGGTTCGGCCGCAAGACCTGCGGCGACCAGGGGGAGGCAAACCCATGGCGGGCCGATACTTGGGCTTCCGAATCTTCCGCTTAATCCCGACCGCGGATGTGAGGTAAGGGCTTCGATATCGGGTTCGCAAGGTATGGACAAATCCTCACTTCATTGTGGGAAAGGTGACTATGGGGCCATGTTGCAGGGCAAAGTAAGCAGGTAGCGGCCGCTGCAAATCAAAACCTTCTGTTCGGCCCAATGTACGCGATTTTGAGCAGCTCACTATGGTCTCTCAAGCTGCGCATCGCTCCCCTCGAGGCTGCTCCGCTGCAACATACAAGTAATACCTTGCTACAAACATCTGCAACTGCTGATTATCCCACCACCAGACTGATCGATCCTCTGACTCGGCTGCCTTGTCCGGCAATTCCTGGCCCGTCTTGGGCGATGTGCTGTGCTCCTGGTTGTGCAGATTTCTGCTCGCTTGAGCAGCTCTTTTCCCGTGATTGTCAACTTACCGAGCAGCTCAAGACGAACGGAATCCTCCAGCCACTTGGCGATCGCGCTCCGCTCGTAGGTGTGACCTGAGCACGGCAGCTGCACATGTGCAGTCGTCATATGCAGCCGGCAAATCCTTACAACCCTAATTATGTCGTGAAGTATAGTTTCCACGTCCAGATTTTGTTGTTGCCACACCTGCACACTATTGTCATGCGCGGGCTCGGTTTGCGTTCCCATGACAGTTTCGCGAAACTGGCGCAGGCAATCTGGTGTGCTTTCTGAGGCCAGGTCCGTCAGAGGTGATGACTGGCCTTTCCATCAGGTCCCTGAGGCTCACAACGTTCGCCGAAGGGTGTCGTCAGGAAGGCAGACTCCGAAGCAGCAGCTGTGTGACAAGTCCTACTGCTTAAAGCTTATGCTTATCTCGCAAACTGACCGAAGGGCCCTGGCCCTGTGGACAGCATGCCTGCATCTTCACAAGTGCGCCTGGTGATGACGCACCGGAACTCCTCAGGTACGTCCGACCTCGCTGCAGCGCCAACACGGCCCCGAAGCTTCCTGCTGTCTATGCCGTAGACCATGAAAACTGAACCCTGAAACGTAACACCCAAGCCTAAACCTGCTTTTTCGGGTGGCCCCGAGCCGAACTGGGAGCATGTGGATTGTAATCCCTTATTAGCTCATGCTTTCCGGAGCAGGAACTGCAGTGTTCTGCGCCCGTGTGAATGCACGTTGCTGTTCACAAGGATTTCATGGAAAAGGCATTCAGTCAACGCAAGGGCAAGGGATGTGCAGTCGGGTAACTGCGTTACCCAATCTAAAAATATCGAGAAAGGCAGGGAAGCTTTGCCCGACCCCCTCATACAACAACAAGACTAACAAGAAAGTCGGATGCATTTGAAGCAAGTAAAGCATGACATGGTGCAAGGGTGGCAATTAAAGGGCCCGACTCGGCAGTAGCGCCCGAAGACGACGAAGAGCCTTTGCTTTCAGGTTCAAGCCTCAGCAGCAGGGACTGAGCACGACGACGATGAGGTGTCCAAAACTCATATTATGTACAGTATCACTTACAGTATCACTTGTGCCCGAAGTTCCATAGTGCCCCACACGCCTGAAACACCTCGGATTCTCAAATCAGCTTTGAGGCTTGCCAGGTTTGTTTCTTCTGGCGCAGGTCAGAGAAACTCCCTTTTGGAGACCACGAGCACCTGCTGCCGGTTGCGCATTTGGTCCGTTGGGGCACCGGCGTGACGTTTTCGGGCCGGACTCGAATAGTGCCTTTTCCATCCTCAGGGTGCAAGGTGCGAATGGCTTCTGATGACGATGAAGATGATGGCGGGGGGGGATGATGATTACGATGGTGATGGGTTTTTCGTGCTCCGGAGACTGCGAAGCAGGGCTTACAAAAGCGATGAGGCTGAGGGTGGGGGCCGACAATCAAGCAACAACCAGCTTCACCACCAAAATCACCAGCGACACGCGCGACCGTCGCTGGCACGAACCCGGTGCTTGGCCTATCAAGTACAATTCTTCGTCGTGTCAGTGTCTGTCTTACTACGTTGCTGCTGAAGTTGCTGCTACCACTCTTAATCATGCACGGTAGATGTCCTCTACCCAGTTACTCAGTTCGCTGAAGAGAGGTTGGCACTCACGCTTGAACCGCAGAAGCGGTAGCTAAATAGGACACATGGGACGCGGTCGGAACAGACTGCTAAGGACAATGAGCTCGATGTTCGGGGAGGTTCCGTCTCTTTGCCCCCGGCTGCAAGTGCTAGCTGCCACCGCCCATCGCTGGGATCGAAGGCCTCGGACCAAGGCCATACAAAGGTCGCAGCACAGGAACCCGAAAGCAATTGCAACTATTCAAGCATCGATCTAGACTCCTAGACATGGCATCCCAGTCGTGAATACTGGACAGCCCAGCACCGCAACTTGCCTCACGCAAGACGGACTCAAGGTGTTTCGATGCGCAACCTTTGGGGCCCCACTCGCGTGGGAGCAACTTCAAGAAGTCTGCGAAGCTCACATTAGATGACTGTAGACTGCTGGCAGCCTTACGAGTCTTCCTGAAGTTGCCCCCGTAGTGTCCTTTCATCGGACACCCCTCTCGCATCGGACTGTACAAGTGTGTACAGGGCACTTCGTTGTCGTCAATAGCTTTGACAGTAGCACCCTGGTGGCTAAATAAAAGCGCCTACTGTAGCTGACGACTCGCTGGCTACACGTCAGCTACACATGTGTGAACAGGCTAGGTGTTGCACAAGCCCGTTCGGCAATTCCCTTTGGGAATGCAGCGGCTTCCAACGATCAGGAGTGCTGAGGGATGATCTGCAGCAGGCTCTGTTAAGAGTGGCCATGACCACACCTGAATCTCAGAAACGTCCCGACGTGATGGGTCTGATCGACAAATGACAAAGCCAATCTGAAGACTTCGTGTTGCAACCAGACTAGATTTGAAACAGACCAGGAGGCCCGGGTATCTCCATGCATTATGACAAGATGCTTTGCACATCCGGGTTAAGGTGATGGCTGCCTACGCCACGTCTTGCTGATCTTGTCGCGCTCGCTTCTTGGATTCCTTAGGCAGTTGACTGGAACCGGCCCATAGGAGGGACTGACTCGAGGCTGCAGAAAGTGGAGAATGTCACTCCGTCTTTCATAGCTTCGTGAAGTGAGGATCGTCAGCATCTGGTGAAGACTACGTCGCCCGAAACCCATTTCCCAAAGCAGTTCCTCTCGGACTTCGAAGCTCACAAACAAAAACAACTACGCTGCCCTTGCGCTAGATGCTTGTGACAGACACATTTCCAATCACTGCCCTCTTCGCCAAGGCTCGTAAGCCTCCACTACCTAAGCAAGGCTGGCTGAAGCCATGTTGGTCCAAGGATAACGCAAGTTGGACGGCAGTGGTTTCACAGCATGCGGTTTGTCAAATCCGCAGTGAATCCGACAATGCGGCTATGGGAGGCCTAACCGTCAGCTCATCCGAAAGAGCAGTCGAAGCGAAAGGGCACACATTGTTGCAATGACAAGACGATCATTCTTGAACGCTCCCGGGGGCCTGGTTGGCATCGTACTCCTCGGCCCTTAGGGCCTTCGAGACAGGGGTACAAACAGCTGGCAAATGCTGGCAAGACCCATTAAATCGATCCCTCCTGCTGGTGATGACCGATCAGCATCCAAAGCAGCCTAGAAAGGCCTAGACTACATACCCTTCGCCCTCAACCAGGGCCTTGATGGCAGCAATCGCCTTCTGGCGCTCAGCCGCTGAAGCTTGCTCTGCAGACTTGGCGAACTTCAGCGCGTCCTTCAGACCCTCCTTGAGAATCGCACGAGCGAGGAGCTTCTCGAATTCAAGTTCATTGGAACATAGTGATTCTCGACTCAGGGTGAGATGATAATCCCAAGACTTGTCTCTTGCGACCACAAACGAAGCTCGAGTCTCGGAGCCTTTCTGGTACGCTGCCGGCAAGGGGCATCAGCCTTTGCGTAGTGCTTGTAGAGAGAGGTCCTTCGAAACTACAAGAGGAACCAACGGAGATTTCTCTGGGCTCAGGCTGAAGACTACCATCTCGAGGCCCCTCTCAGCTACCCACAATACCAGGAGCTACTGGGCTTGGAATTGTCTCCGGCACCCACCCTGCAAATCCTCACACCGACGCCACATCTTGAAGGCAGACTTTGCAGCCCGGGACACCTTTCTGCAGTCGCCTCCTTTTCTGCCAGGCGGGCTGACTTAAGGCATTGCTTCGCATCACCTCGGGGTCCGAGCTTATGTTGTCCCAGAGGTTGTATATGGATATACGGTCTATCAAGTCAGTCTAGTTGGCAAGAATCCCCCTCTATATGTCTTGCGAGGTGCATTCCAAAAGTTCAGCATTGTTGCTACAGGAGACTGTTGCATCGACAAGTCTGGGTATCACGGTCAACCTATCCGACTATGCGGAGGAAGATTTGCAAGCTGACAAAAGCAACTATTTTGGGGCCGCTCATGGTCTTGCCCGAAGACGGAAAATCGAAGAATTTGCTCTCTGAATCGATGAGTCAGATCACAACTGAGCAACATCTCAAATCCGTTGTCTCGTTCTATGTGCTTCTGGGATAGGCCAGGACGTTCCCAGTTAAGGATGCCCACTTTCTCTGTGGACATGGACGCACAGTTTGTAGCCATGGAGCAAATGGCTGCTTTGCAGTCATCACGCAACCGTTTCCTTGCGGCGAGGGCTACCGAGACCCGTCGGGAATGTTGTACTGGACCAAATAAGTACTACCGGTACAATCGCCCTAACCTTCCTTCGGTAGTCGAAACCCTGACTGCGTCCTTCTGCGCTTCTCAGTGCAAGGGGCTGTTGCCGCTCTCGGCCTTCTGCCTCGGCCACGGCAGCTTGCGCCGTCTGCAAAGCTTCCTTGCAAAGCAGCTCGATGCTCTTCAACAGTCAGAGTACTTTGAAACTGACTACTGCCAGAAATCTCGCACAAATCGCATTTATTTACCGTACGATTCGGAGAGCCGTTCGAATTCCTTTTGCTCCTAGACGATCAAGTTCGCGATCAACCGGTCTGAAGTGGCTACTTCTGCAGCTCAGTTTTACATTGTTACGATGGCTCCTCATCTTCTGCGGTTCGTGCGCGGCAGGCCTGGCCGACGGGGCTTCATGAAAGAGTGCATCGTGCATACATGCATGTGTCGCGTATGTGTTCGTACCTAACCTATACCTACCTGCCTGCCTAGCTGCTGGTACCTAATCTTACCTACCTACCTGCCGACCTACATGCCTACCGACCTGCCTGCCTATGCAGCGAGAGCAACCACGTTCCATCCATCCATCCATCCCTCCGTGCGTGCATGCATGCACGCACCTACACACACACACACACACCTGTACATGCAAAGTACACGTTATGTTTCTAGATGAGAAAGATCTCCATGTCTACAATCGCAGCAACGGGTTCAAAGAATTCGTGACCAGCCGCGACTTCAGCGATGCCTCTTCGGCAAATACGCAGGTCTCGGCAAAAGCACTCCTTGTGTTAAACCTCCTGCGGTACCCTGCCTCGAGGTTCTGCATCACCTTGGCATACTGCCTCTGCACAATCGCATGACCTGTGCTTTGTTTTGCTCAGGGGCTCGGCTGCAATGTGCATGCTTCATTTTCGGAGTCCGACCCTATACAGCTTGATTACCTGCCGTCACATGTCTGCATCATGCTGTTGCGAGGCTGTTCAGGCAACAGCTAATAACAGAATTGGGTTGCAAAGTTTCAATTTTGCGGAGTCCATTCCGTATGTGTTCTCCTGCACGAAGAAAACTTACTGAGGCCAGGCCACGTGCAGCCTCCTCGCGAGCTTTGCTGCTGGAGCTCAGCCTCAGCTCGGGCATTGGCGCAACAATCGTAACAAGAGCTCCAGCTTGGGCATAACCTAATCTTCTATCAGCGACTGCCTGTCGATGCCTACATTCATGTATACACAACCAAATTCAATGTATCCAGCCATCGCCGCCTTGCCCGCTGCGCACGGCGCTGGTTCGCAGCGCCACGTGCTGCCGCCTCAGCGGCAGCCCGGCTGCTGCGCCAGTCCTGGCCGGACTTATTGGTGTTAAGTAGTTTGTCCACCTGCCCAAGCGCATAAATCTCGCATTCCTGCACACCTCGAGCTTGTGCAATGAAGCCTGCCGTCTGAATGTCACCACCCAGCAATGAAATTGCATGCCTGTTGCGACGAAAAATTAGTCAACTTCACAGAAGACTCAGTTTATCCCACAACTCGATAGCCTAAGACACCTAGCCCGGAACGTTACAATCGAATCACCAGGGCGTTTCACATCCGCTTCGCCCGAATGAAGCACAGCCTCGGCGAGCTCTTTCCCAATTCCATCCAGCACCTAGTCGCAGTAGCAGTCCGCGAGCTAATCGAAGTAGAAGTGAAGGTGAGTAGAAATCCCTTTCCTCGAATTATAAGCCCTCCTACTATGAACGATTATTCGGCAGAGGATTTTGTGGTTTCAAGGCCCTACAGGAAATAGGTTGGGGACCCAGGAATGCAGCAGCAGCAGCAGTAGTAGTCGTCGTCAGAGCAACTCAGGTAGTATAGTAGTAGCAGCAGTAGCAGGAGTCCTGGTAGTAACAGCAGCAGCACAGTAGCAGCTGCAGCTGCAGGGCGGCTGATTCATTGGCTAGGTGTGCTCAGCTAACACAGTGTAGCTCATTTTGCGGACTCCTTCGAATGGCTTGTTCGGCTGCATCTAGATCTTAGACATGGCTGAGCAAAGCAACGTGCACTGTACACAAGTTTTGGAGGTCAACAGGTGACGACCGTGTACAGCCGCCGTCTCTCAACGCAATAAGTATCTAGATGTAAGAGCGACGCACATGGAGATGTGTCAAGCTGAGTAATTAGTTATTGGTTCCCGGATTGCCGGCTGCACTTGCCTACTGTTGCGATTCGTATCGCTCGGTCATGTTCAGCCCCGTCCCGGAAACAAAAAAGCCTTGATTCCCAGATCTTGATTTCTTGATTCCTACATGAACATGCAAGGGAGTACTGCGGCTGCAAGTGACAACATGTCAAGCCAAATCGCAGTGCGCATCACAGAAACTTGGATGGCTGAACTAACTACAGTGTGCGGCACCACATGTCTAGCCGCGAACCTTGGCATAGGCCTGTGTAGCTTCCCCACTCTGGCCATGCAAGCTGGATGTCACAGCATTCAGCGCGCTCTTGATCTCTGCCACTGCCTGATTGAGGGTGGGGCTTGTACTCCATGTTCTGCACCTTCATGCTCCTTTTGTTGTAACACCCGAGTGCATCTTGGCGTCGTTAAAGCATGATGTGAGGAATGTATGTACCGGAACCTCTGCGAACACCAACTGTCGAAACCTACGGCAAATCCCACCGCAACGTCGCCAACTCCACCGTAAGGAAGTCCTGCCAGAAAGCATAATAGTAAATGTAACAAAATTATTCATATTATAATAGTAATACTAATAGTAATAGTAATACTAATATTAATAGTAATATAGTAATACTAATACTAAGAGTAACATAGTAATACTAATCTTCATAGTACTTAGAAACATCCTGGCCCCTTAGCGCCTCCCCCTCTCGCAGGAACTTGCCTGGTTCAGGCGCTCGAGGGCTCGAGATCCGGACACGGAGATTTTGGCGACCGCCTCTGGAACCCCAAAGGGTCCTATGTACCGATATAGTAGAATGTAGGGCCGTAGGGTTTCCATACTATGATGACTTAGGGAAGTATCCTAGAAGCTGCCCCCACCCTGTAATAGTGACTATAAGGATTATATGAGGGCCCTATTATATTCCTATTATAGACCTTTAAGGCTCAAGGGATACTAGAAGGGTATATAGGGGGCCTTATAGTAATCAGAATTTGTGGAACAGACAATGTGCTGTGCTTGTGGCAAGACTTGCAAGGGATCCTAATATAGGGGCCCTATTATAGATCAGTAGCCCTTTATATAGACTCCGTTAAGAGGAACTTCGGGACCGACTTGTGCTGTGCTTGTGGCAAGACTTGCACGGGATCTGCCGATAAGCATCTCAAAAGTAGATTCCTTCATGGGATTCATGGGGGTTCCTATAAAGTACCCTTTGTAGTATAGGGCCTCAAATTAGGGGATCTACTTTCTATCGAAACTTGTGCTGCACGCTTGGAACGGCAGCCATCCTGGCCTTCTCTGCAGTCTGCTTCTCTTTCTCGGCTGCACGGCGTGCCTCGGTGTCTGGCTTCACGTCACGATTGCTTCACTTTCGGTAGGATATCTTCGGCCATAGAGCCAGAAGTCGTCCCTCAGGAAATGGGCGCCAGGATTGCGAGACTCGTCAACCCTTTGAAGACTAGGAACACACGCAATTTTCAAGTTTCTTCAACGAATTCTGCTGGCTCTCTTGTCCGACAGCACCGATCCGAGACCTCAAGCCTTAACCCCAAAGGTGCTCCAAGCCTGAAAAGCCAAATCCGACTGGTATTACGATTAAGATTAGGATTACCATTACTAATTTTTTTGCCTACTATTACTATTAATATTAGTATTACTATGACTATTAATATTATTGTCAGTATGATTGATACATTGAGACGGGCCACCGACTGCAGGGTCTTGAGCGGCGGGGATCCTGTTGGTGCAAGCCCCTGCATGGCCAGGGTCATGTCTGTCTGATGCCTTGGTACGCCAAGTCTTTGGGGCGTGAGCTCGGGGTTTCGTCATGACAGCAGCTGCGTCTGGGTCCCCCTGGGTCCGGGTTGCTAGACCAGAGTCCGCGAGGGTGAGGGTAGGTAGGCTCCAAAAGAAGGGACAACCGGGGCTGAGTTTGTCGAAGAGAGCTGCCACTTCCCTGAAAAATGGGAATGCCCCAATTTGAATCGAGTCGCTCCGCACACCGAGACTCGATTTCAAGCGCTTTGTCCTCGGAGCGGTAAGGACTTCGATAAGCATGCAGGTCGCAAGCAATCTTCGAGAATGCGGGAGCAGCCGGGTCACAATAATGGTTTGGCGAGCATTATTTTTTCAATGTAGGCTATATACTCGTCCTCGCGGTGGTCGTCGTCGTAGTAATGGCAGCCGCACATGCGAAAACGAATAGAACGTGAACGCAACTCCCATATATTTTGCCGCGAGAGAACATCGTGAAAATAGAGGCCGTAACAGCAGTCGCAGTCGCAGTCGCCGTAGTCATAGCAGTCGTCGTAGTAGCAGTAGTCGTCGTCGTGGTAGTAGTCGTTGTCGTGGTGGCATTAGGTTTGGGATTCGTATTAGTATCAGCATCAGTAAAAGTAGTATTAGCCGTATTAGTCGTGACGGCAGTCAAGTTTGAGCAGTGGTAGAAAACATGATGCTGCTCCTGGTGTGGTGTCTTGCACGGAGTAGTACTACAGGTCGCTGTCCTCGTCGTCAAATTGTCCATGTTTGACGTCCACATGGGTAGACTCGGGTAGGGGTCGAGGGACGGTAATATCCGTTCCTGACTACTCCGTTTCACAGCTCGAACGGCTGAAAAGACATCTGCGGGAAATGTGTCTCGGAATAGCATCCAAGTCCACTACAGAACTCAACCAAAAGCTGGACCGTCACCATTCCAACGATAGCAAGCAGGTCTGAAGCCCACTGTGCTGGCTCAGAACCCACTCTTCACCAGCTGCTTCGCGTGCACTCCGTGCAGCCTTGCGCAGAAATGTCTGACAGCAGATCAATGTGGATGAATTGGGGACTGCGTATGAAGAGAATCCATAAAGGCACTTCAGCAACAGCAGCTTGTGCATGTAAAACAAGTCTGATAGTGACACCTCAAACATCGAACGTCGTCGCAGCTCTGACACGGATTGCCAGCCACTATGCAACCTGTTGAAAGCTGTTTGAAAGCACCTCGTCAGCCTCAGCAAGCCGGGCAGCGGCCTGCAACAATTGGATTTTCACAGTTTGTCTCAGGTGCGGCATAAAAGAAATGACAAAAAGATTGAAAAGGATGAACATGAATTCAGATGATATGTATGCATATATTATATGTATGGTTTACCCTTCTCTGTTTTGAACCAACTATTCGTTATATTTGTATAACTTTCCTTCTACTAAAGGTGTCCATATACCTTCACAGTCAAATGAGAAATCGCAATAGCTATCTTCCTTTGTAGGAGGGGCACCTTCTACTTCTTTAATCAGCTTCTGTCTTTGGCATTGGACCAAAGTTATTCCCCTGGCGGTGTTCAGGGTGACGCGTTCTCTCGGCTGATACGGATTGCAATAGGGTCTTTGGAGTCGTCGTTCTGTCTGTGGTACCGTTTCTTCTCCTGCAGTGTCAGGTGTGGGAAGTGCACTGTGCGGTGCCACGGAGCTTAGGAGTAAGTCTTCCAAAAATCTTCCTAACATGTCACTCGGCCGCGAATGGCCACATTTTCAGAGGCTTGAGGTGGCATTCCGACTTGAATGCTCAAGGCTTCTGCGGTCGGGTGCAATGGGAGCTGAAGGGGATTGAATTGCCACCGGACGCTCCCGTAGCTGTGAACATCACAGAACTGTGTGACGAAATAAAGAGGTTTGCTTATCCGGAGCTTTAAGAGCAAGCAGTAAACAAACTCTTCGGAAGAAGCCTCCAGCCAGTCGGCAGGGCCCGAAGACCCAAACTGCCAAACCCTGAACCCTTTTGCATCCAGGCCTCTTGAAGTCTCGTGGCTACACACTCACACTCACACCACTTTTAAACTCCCGAACCCCCAAGAACACGCCAAGCCTTCTGCGCTGCTTTGATCTTGGCAACGGGAGCTTCCAGAGCTAAGCCCTTCTCAAGCTCGGCCTCGACCTGCTCCAGTCTGCTTGACTGAAAGCTTTCTTCTCGTAGGCTACGTAGTTACAGTGTACACACATACATACATTGCATACATAAACACACCCATATGTATGTGTATATGTATATATATATATATATATATATATGGTATCCCCCCCCCCATGGATCTACCTTTTTCGTGTGTTTGTGAGCCACATCACACGAAAATGGAAGATCCTTGAGGGGAGGGCCTACCCGATGGACCGTTTTGTGGCTGGGTGAACTCCACCCTGGCCCGATTGAGTTCAATCGGGCCGATTGAACTCAGTCGCCCCCCCCCCGATTGAGTTCAATCGGGGCCGATTGAGTTGAATCGGGCGCCGGATTGAAGATTGAAGATTGAAGATTCCCTCGAAAACTTTGCCGGGAAATCTTCAATCTTCAATCCGGCCCCCGATTGAGTTCAATCGGGGCCGATTGAGTTGAATCGGGCGCCGGATTGAAGATTGAAGATTCCCTCGAAAACTTTGCCGGGAAATCTTCAATCTTCAATCCGGCCCCCGATTGAGTTCAATCGGGGCCGATTGAGTTGAATCGGGCGCCGGATTGAAGATTGAAGATTCCCTCGAAAACTTTTGCCGGGAAATCTTCAATCTTCAATCCGGCCCCCGATTGAGTTCAATCGGGGCCGATTGAGTTGAATCAGGGCCGCTTGACTGCAATCGCGCTTCGTCCCAAGTGGGCGGGGTTTCAGGTTCAGGGTTGAGGAATTTGAATTTGATGTGCCGAACGTGTTTACCAGGATCTCGAGTGCTGCGTGTTGGTGAGCGGTTTTTCAAAATGATGGCAAGCGTTTTTTTTGGTCTGTGAATATTGGTGAAATCACCAACGGGTATTCAACAGGATTCATAAAGGTATAAAGGGTTTCTATAATCTATGGGTATCTATATGAAATTTTTAAGATGTAAAGGAGGAGTACCGTGCAAGGTGTTCTATATGCTCTTGTTTTTGATTTCTTCATTGGGCATATAGCAGGTACAGCGCAAAGCATTCTGCTCCTGATTATCCTGCCATTAATCCGTTATCTATAAAGTACTCTACAAGGCATTCTATGGTGCATTCTACGGGTATGTTATAGAATATCCGTTAGGTTTCCTTTAGGACTTCCTATGGGGTACTCAGAGGGTATCATAGATATTGTGTATTCTGTAAGCTAGTCGGTAGGGAAATGCAGATGATATTGTACAAGGCCTATAAAAGGCCAAGTATGTAACGTTGTTTCGGGCTTTCTATCGGGTACTCCATAACGCATTGTATAAGGGATTGTACAAGGCATCAACATGAACGTAAAGATTATCTTACAGAACGTGTTCTATAACGTAATGTATAGGCTATACGGCTATAAGGTACTCAAGAAGATATCTATGAGGTATATAGGGGATATTCTATAACGTCTTACCTAGGGTCACCTGTGCGAAATTCTTTGGGGTTTGTGGTATTCTTTAGGTTATTCTCTTCGACTCCTGGATCACTCCTAGAAACCCCTTACCCAATAGGCTGCTTCTTTATGAGGGGTTCTCAGATCTTGGGCTCGTTGAAAGGTTATCTATAGGTACTCTTACTTCCCAAATACCTATGGGGGTGTAAGAAGTTTAAACTTTCGCAACAAGATTACCTTATTAGGGGCCAAAAGTTGAAAGTTTGGTTTTGAGCCACTAAATGTTATATGGGTTCATGGTATATATACTGTATACAACGACTGTCATGTATAGGGCCATATGGGCATCCTGTAAGGTCTTCTATAGAGTATTCCAGACGGTCTTCCATGAGGCGCACGACATATAGAGGGTGGTATGTGTTCCATAAGGTATTTTGTAAGGTATTCTATGTCGTATTTTGTAAGGTATTCTAGATATTCAAAAGATATACGGACTGTGACTGAAAGTATATGATAAGGTATTCTCGAGGCTCTAGGGTATTCAATAAGGCATGAGGGTATTCTATATCAGTGCATTCCATATGAAAGGCTTTACGATACATAGAGAAAGTATTCCAAAGGACGTCCTGCAAGATATTCTATATAGTGTCTTGTATAGAGTGTCCTATAGGGTATGTGTAATATAATGCGCGCGGGGTGAATCCTATATAGGTGGTCTTGGAGACGGTATGCGACAGGATATTCGGGTGGATTTCTATAAGATATAAAGGTTATGTGAGTGGAATTTTGCAAAGTATTCTTAAATGTAATTTAAAGGGTACTATATTGGTGAAACACAATGTATTGAACCCTGGAAATATCGATAGATTTCGTGTTCGCGGATATTATCTATAATCCCGATGCGTCCTATATATGGGACGTGTAGAAATAGGGTCCTCTTTTCATATCTATACTTGTCGTGATACGGGATGACATATCTTTGCTCTCCTGTTGCGTGTTACCTTCACAGCCCATACTGCTGCATGCAAAAACCTATACACACACAGAACATGCATGCAACCTTGCGTTCTTTCGCAACACGAGAAGAAGCCGTACGCGAATGTATGTCGCTTGGAAAAACTCAGTGTGTATATGAAGGAAATGCAGAATTTAGGATCTGCGAAATCTTTGATCGAGTCGAAGCGTATTTAGTGAAGGACTTATAAAGAGAAGGGAATACGTTATAGAATATCAACTATTTCCCATCCGGCTCTCAAACACACGAAAAAGGTAGATCCTTGAGGGGGGGATAGCATATATATATATATATATATATGTATATATATATATATGCATACACACACAGGTCTATATCCGTATCCGTAAATGTATGTACATATCTCAGTTGAGCTTCTTGGGCTGAAGTGGGCCTTTAATAATGAAGAGGAGATGGGGCATGCCTTTGACAAAAACACCTCGGTCAGTGTTGGAAAATGGTGGAAATGTGGGCGCTCCGGTTTGGGGTTCAAGTAGAATGGAAATCAGCAGTTGCGACCCACGTCTTGACAGACTTGCTGCGACAGCTCCTGGTCAGACACAGCTCCCGACAAAATCTTAGCGACAGAATCTCGAGCAGCTCAGCTCTCAATGTTTTACAGATTGATCCACCGGATCTCTGAGCCTTCGGCCTCAGGCTCATGCAGGATCTGTGCTTTGTCCCATCTTCGGCAAGTGACTAGAGTACGAGCACTTGCCTGGGCAAGCGTCTTCGAGAGCTTGGTCTCGGCTTCCTGCAAAGGGGTTAAAAGGAAGCACAGCGAACATCCAAGCACGGAAACGCATCTGGCTCACCTTCACCAACTTCTTTGCTTCCACCTGCCCACCTACACACTCCTGCGTCCCTACCGGAAAAAGCTACATCTCAATTGGATGGTTTACCGATTATTATTGTGATTAATGCATGGCGATTGCCCCCTGTGCAGTGTGCTTGCTAGCCGACCGCGAGAACTTCGGCCTATGTCGGCAATGCTAGTAATGGGTAAGCACCGATGTCGCGCCGTAGCCATCCGCGATGACAATGATGAGCACAATGGCGACATAGAACGATGCTGATGGCCAAGGTGGGCGAAGGCCATATGTGTATTACAATGGTGATGCTGCTAGGGGGCACGACTATGACTATGACAAAAGCGTGGTGAGCTAGCGCTGCGAACGACGACGAAACAACTCTACCAACAATAATGTGACGATGAGTGTAACAGCTGTTGTGGCGGTTGTCTTCCGCAAATTGCTTTGCACCTGCAAGACGCGGAAATCCTGGTCGAGGAACAGTGCTCGATGTCCATGCCGAATTGCTTACGTACAGCTTTGGCAGCCAACACACGGCAGCTGCAGATCCAACGCATGATTTTGCAGAACTGATTTCCTGAAGCTTCAGGCCTCCGGCGATGAATGAGCGATGAGTGCTGTTGTCAAGCCCTCTACACACAGGAAACGTGCACGCATGCCTGCAGGGCCGTTGCACCATGGCGGGCTTCGTCGGTGCCGCTTTCGACCTGGAAAGCTCGCTTGGGTGTCGCGAGCGCATACAGAGATCCCGGGAACGTACAGTATGTGATGTGGCTGTGGGATTCCAGGGCACTTGTTGGGGCCTTGGCTACACTTCTCCGAGGCGCGTTGGCAACATGAGCCTAGACACAATCTCTACCATTGAAGCGCAGCGACGCCAGAATATACATTTGTGTAGAGAACTGTCGGAGGTCTCTCTATGGAGCTGTGCAGCCTCTGTTTTGTGTAGACTGAAAGGCCGAGTCGATTTACTAGCAACTAAGAGTAGCTCTGCGTGTTTGCGGCGATTCTTTGTGCGGGCTATGGGTAAAATTTTGCTGACAGATGCTAAAACATGATCGAAATGCCCACTGGTTGGATGCAAAGAGCCCAGACACCTGTCACAGAATGGGCCAGCAACTGCTCGGCACAAGGGCAATTTCAAGTTGACAGGGGGTGTGCAGCAACCCGTGGTGCAATTCGGGCGTTTCGCTTCTGTGCCCACCCGGACTTCCTGCCAGCCATAGTGCCGTAGTGAACCGAGCTGGACTCTACCTTGTCTGAAGCTCGCCTCTGCGTCGTGCTGGTCTCGCTTCGCTTCGGCCTCGACATCGTCTTCAATGCCGGGAGGGGAGGGGACGTCTGAGATAAGCTTGCAATCAGCCACTCTCATGTGGCCCGGCCTTCATGCTCAATCTTCCGGAGCAAAATGCTCCAAAACCACCCCTTCAAAAACACATGCTTAAAAAGCCTTAAGCCCATCCTGGACACACAACCCTGCCTGGCTCAATGCTCCAGACCAGAATGCCCTGCCCCTCCAGCCTCTGCGAGCCGTTTCGCCGAGGTCTCAAAGCTCTGTTGGGCCTTCTCCTCGGCTGAAGGTTGCAGAGTTGATCTGCTAATGATGATAAGGATAATAACACGCCTGTGCCACACCTACACCTTGAAGACACCACAGCCGGGCCGCCACTTCCTTCTCCACCACGCCTTCTTGTCTCTTAGACTGTCCCAGCGCCGCCTCAAGGATTTGCCGAGACAGCGCAAAGCAAGGTGCGCGCGGACGCTCACGCTGTCAACTTACGATGACGGGCGGCCTAGGTTTATTGCATCGACGGGAAGCCCCGTTAGAAACCCACAATACAGACAAATGCTCCGAAGCCTATGCCGCCTATGACGGTACTTCGGGCTCCATTCAACCCCCCATTGACAAACCCTATACATGTAGAAGCCCCCAAAAAATCCACACGGCCACAAAGGCAGAAGGCCTGTGCTCTCTTCAACTGCTCGGATGCAGTAGAACGCGCAGAAGATGCGCTCTTGATTTCGGCCTCAGGACAGCAACAAGTTGGCCGTCTTTCTTGCGGTGCTCTTAGCAAGAACTGGCCTACACAGGCGTGCGGATGCTGCCTCAGTTCCAAAACGTGCTAATTGAACATATATCGCTTGTAGCACTGACCCGGGGGCCGCAAGTCTGCTGAGCGTCCAGGAAAGGCAAGGCCTGCTGAAGTACGAGTGGCAGCTGAAGAGTGCAAGAGCAAACCGAGATGCTGCGGCTTTCTCCAACTGCTGCTGCGCCGTCGTGAGGGAGCCTTCCTTCAAGCGGCGGCCAGACTGTGGGCTATGGGTGTGCTTTGGATGCTGACCTGTGAACCCAAGTTGCAGGATAACACTACAAGCAGCAGCTGACAGTTTTTTCAGCCGTTGAGTATGTAAAGGCCGGAGTTGTCCATGCAAGCAGCCCACAGGCCATAAACTGTCTATGCTGTGTTGCAAGATGTTGCAAGATTTTCTGTTCACCTTGCTTCAGTCGAGTGCCCAAGCGAGGTCAAACCTTCCTGCTGTTCAAACTGCAATACACCCAAGTTTGCCCACAACACAGGCCCTGGATCAGTCGCTTCTATGACCTTCGCACCCAGACCCTCTCCCGACTGCAAGTTTTGGGGTCATGCACAGAAGCAAAAGGACGAAACGAACCCCAACACAAAGCTGTGTGTGCCGCCTTCACCAGTCGCGCCGCCGCCGCCTTCCCGGCAGCGTCCTCTGCGATCTTGAGCTTGGCCTTCATCAGCCTGCTGTGCTCACCCGGTTTGATCTTTCTAAGTCCCCAGTACCGCGCTTGGCTTGCCTAAAGGTCAAGATTCATTCCCTTCCCAGTTGCCGACTGCATATTCTTGCCTCCGGGATTCCAGCACTACGGGCTGTCAGAGTTGAACATGTGAGAGACTGTTTTGTGCTCAGCTGCGTTCCTGCAGCACGTTTCAGCCCTTCGAAAGCTACAGGGCATGACAAGGCTGAATGCACCAAAGCGTACTGTACTCAAGCTAAATGCCAAGAAGAAATAGATCTGCCCATCAACTTACGCAACGATCACAGATCTTAGACAAAAAGACATGCAAGCTACTGCGTCACGAATACGAAACCCCTCTCTCACGACTAGAACGAACTTGTCGTGGTCTCCTGACTTCCGGTGCTGCCCCCGCGAGCTCATCGTCCTTCCGTGCTTGTAAAAGGAGGGTGGGCGAGGCGAGAGGTGACAGCCGGCAAGCTCGCACCATCAAACATCCACATGGACATAAAGTTGCGACAAAAACTGACGAGAAGTCCTGGTCACCCTGCAGGGTACTGTACAAGAAGGAGAAGCTGCTGAGGCCGACCTTACCAGTCATTGCAGGTAGCCATTCAGCGGCAGATCTCGATTGAACAAAGATTTATGGCTAGGCAAAGCAAGACGCAAGAAGGAACGAGTCGTGCGAAATGGTGTCGTCTGTAATCTCAGCCAAGACACGGCAGGGCCAGCTTTCAGCCACTCGTCGGGCGCATCGCACTGTGCCGCACAGTCCTTGTCGGCACGTAGGTGCTGCGAAAACGGTTTACAAGAGCAGCACGGGAGGCGGTGCCATGGAAACACACACGATCGCCACGAGGTCCAGCTGCGGCGGGCTAAAGTCTTGATGCAGCAGATGTACAGCACTCACTCCTGAACCCGCTAAGGGACCAAACAGTTCGTTTCAAGGTCGAGTGCACGCTTCTGCTGCAGAAAGAGCCAGCAGAAAGATCACCTAACCTAACTCACTTCATCACGAAAGCTCCCAGAATGAAAAAACAGCACGCTACGAAGCATAGACGCCCCGAAGTAGAACGCTGCCCTACACCACTTGCCCGGGCTCTTCAATGCCGTGTTGATGTCGTAGAAGTGCCCGCGTCTCCCCATGAGCAGGGTCGGTCCATTCGAACAGGCCATGAATCTCTTCGGCCGTGAAATACCTTCGTCTCCGACGGTTCGCTTTAGACACCAGTGCACTTAAGGTCCAAGCATCGCAAAGCAATTCGTGAGACTTATGTGTCGCATAATTCGGGCCAGCCATGGTGCCTTTTGCCATGGCTGCCTAAGGCAGGAGCGCGTGCTACTTTTCATCCTCCGTTCTGGGTCATGCCTGCGTGCTGGACCACCTCCAATGCCCCGACGGTTCCTGCAGGCATAAGCTGAAATATGCCAGAGTGCCGCTGCTGCTGCTTCGTCTCCAAAGCCGTTTTGGTCCTCAGCATGCAACTGGCACTAAAAAGTGGCGACATTCAGGACTGCTGTCAACCGTAACCTTTCCACAACGTTCTCTACATGCTCTGATGCAGTCTGCGGAGCCGAACAACTTACTACGTCTAGCAATATCTATATTGGGCCATTTCCTTGTTGGGTAGGGGATAACAAACTTGGGTATCGGAGCTATAAGCCGGGAGCATTGAACAAAGATACCATGTACCGTCCCAGGCTTCTACACGTGGAAGCCAGCCAGAAATCGTCCCTCTCGAAGTCCTGAAGTATGCTTGGAGGTCGAACCTGGACCTCCCAACTACCCTCTAACATACCCTAAATACCCACTATTAAGGACCGTAAGGGCTTTATTAAAGGGTACTTGGGGGGTCCTGGAACACCCCAAGACTATGATGGGGATGCAAGAAAAGTTCTATTTCGACCGGGGTGCAGACCCATCTTGAAGACCTGAAGCCGGAACATCTTGTCTTCAATCAGGCCACTCCTTCTGTGACATGTGGGAGTTTCCGAAAATTAGGGGTACCTTATTTGGGGGTCCTTATAATAAGGATCCTACTATATAGGGTACAATATTAGGGTCCCCTATTTTTGGAAACTCCCATGTTGTCTCAAGCTTGAGGGCTTCCGCAGTTGTGAGCTTATGGCTCAGCACGCTTTCATTCGCCTTACAGGGGCGGCCGTTCAGAGCTGGTATCTATGTCACAGCGATGCAGGGGAGTTCCACGCAGGTGCAAAGCCTACAGTACTTGCCGTTAGGTGTAGCCCGGGCCCATAGGAAGGGCTGACGCCTGAATCACGGAAACGACAGTCCGTGCCCTCTCGGCACTTGCTCTGGTTTCCACACTGTCGAGGGTTTCCATAGCTATACCCCACCACATCACACTTTGATCACATAACGGTACGTCTTGCAACGTAACGGGCTGATCATAGACCAAAAGCAGTGACAGCCAAGTCTCATGACCAAGCGATAGGTTTTGACCTCCCTGTCTTGTCCTCCGGAGGAACATAGGCCCAAATTAGTCCATAGGACCTTTGCACATTCTGTTCACATGCGCTGCGTCATGGCCCTACCGTATCTGCTACCTAGAAAGTCAGACGGCTCTTCCGCATCCCCACGCAGTGACACAAGTGGGTGAGAGAGGCTGAGGACCCTTTTAGGTTAAGGATGCGCCAGAAGCACGAATCTCGACTCCCAGCTTGCAGCACTAGATAGCCCGTGCAAATCAGCTTGCACAGGGGCCCGTGCGATAGAGTTAAACGGTATCGAAACTCAGAGGCTTGCATGGGGTAGCATGATATCGACCGTTTTACGTCTTGGGCACTTGGGCACTTCCGCGTCACAGGTCATCTGCCCGGAGTAGGCCGATTTGAAAAGATTGCTTGCCGTGCGTGGGTCTACTGCTGCGCACCTTCATGCCGAACCCAAAACCTCAAACGAGAAACGCCGCAAGGCTTTTTCAGGCTTATGGAACGGTCTACGATGCAGTGCGCCCAAGAAGGTCCTATGCGATGCGCCCGATCGACAGCTTGCATGTCGACAGCAGGATTCCTGGTCCGGAAGCATGGCCAAACACTTGACGTGGTGAGCACACAGCGCATGAGCCCATCATCCGAAAGCCTGCCTTCGGAGGCACAGCATGATGTGAGATAGTTTGCGACCGTTCTGCGCCGTTCTACACTTCAAGAATCTTCAAGATACTGCGTACAGCAAGGGACATGATGTCAGGTCCTAGTCCCAACTCTGAAGATTACGACACTATACACACTGTCACGGCTCCATGCCGGGTCGAGGATGATCACGCGATCTGCTGAGGTAAGGTTCAAGCCGAATCCGCCCACTCTCGTGGTCCTTGGAACGGCAAGATATCGTCGAACTCCGCTCGTGGCAGACGACAGACACTCGATGGGCCGACACAAGCAGAAGGAAATCCACTCTGGTCCTGTTTTCAAAGATATCGAGTGTCGACACGACATGCGGAGGACCATCCAGTATAGATCTACAAAATCCCTCTGTAGCCGAGGCTCAGCAGCATGCAGGTGTAGGACTGCGGCTGCGTCTGAAATAAACGTACTCGCTCGTTTCGGGCCTCCCAAGGTCATCTGACAAAACCCCAAGGCACCTGGAACCTGCTTCTTTCTCTCTGGTCTTCTGTGCCCGGCCCATAGCAGCATAGAATCACTGTAGGTTCACTGCAGATCTGTATGATAGGGGATCTTCTTCCAGGCCTCTCAGCACCGAACAAAATGTAATGGGATACGACTGCGGAAGGCTCTCGAAAACTTGAACCTGTGTGTATATATATATGTGTGTGTATGTACATGTACATGTACATGTACATGTACATGTATATGTGTATGTATATGTACATGTATATGTATATGTATATGTATATGTATATAAGCTAAGCCGGCGGCGACCTCACGGGTGGCGCCTCCTAGCAGCGGCAAGAGCACGACCCGCCAAGGCCAGATGATACCAGAAATGCCCAGCCAGAAAAGACACACTACCAAGACGACAAGCACAGCTAAGCCGAGTCCTCCTCCTCCTCCTCCTCCTGCATCTCCTCCTCCTCCTCTACCTGCTCTGGCTCCAGGTTTGCATGGACGACGACCTCGAATGCAAGAACCCCGACAAGACCCACCCCACTCGAACATGCAGCAACACACATCTAGTCAAGCCCAAACACAGGCACATCGGTGCTCGAGGATGATAACTCCTGGGATAGAAATCACGCAAAAAGCAAGACCAAGTAAAGAGAGAAGTCCCAGGCACCAAAGACCCGCCGGGGATCTCGGAGCCGTCGAACTCTTCGGCCTCAGTTCACACGAGGAAGGGCAAAATGATGGAAGGAAGCCGCAATCGGAGAAACAGCGAAAGCACACGCCATTGCCATCACGACCCAAACCCGTAAGGTACCAGCCCCGATAAACCAGTACTCCTCATCTTCCTGCTGCGGCTCCAGGTTTGCAGGGACGACGACCTCGTATGCAAGAACCCCGACAACACCCACCCCAGTCCAACATGCAGCAAACATCTAGTCAAGCCCAAGCACAGGCACATCAGTGCTCGAGGAGGCTAACTCCTGGGATAGGGATCACGCAAAAAGCAAGACCAAGTAAAGAGAGCAATCCCAGGCACCAAAGACGCGCCGGGAATCTCAGAGTCGTCGAACTCTTCGGCCTCAGCTTCACACAAGGAAGAGCAAAATGATGGGAGGAAGCCGCAATCGGAGAAACAACGAAAGCACAAGCCATTGCCATCACGACCCAAACCCGTAAGGTACCAGCCCCGATGAACCGGTACTCTTCGTCTTTCTGCCCTGGCTCCACGTTTGCAGGGACGACGACCTTGAATGCAAGAACCCCAACAACATCTAAGCGCAGCCCACCCCAACATACAGCAACACGCATCAAGCCAAGCCCAAACACGGGCACATCAGTGCTCGAGGACGGCAACTCCTGGGCTAGAAATTGCATAAACAAGGATGACCAAGTTTCGAACAAGACCAAGTAATTAAAGAGAGCAGTCCCAGGCTCGACGGTCGTGCCGGAGACCTCAGAATCGCCAAACTCCTCGGCTTCCGTCTTCCGTTTCAGGCAAGGAAGAACAAAAGAGACAAGAGAAGAGACAGCAACCGGCAAGAAAAGAGAGAAAGAGAGAAAGAGAGAGAGAGAGACCGACAAAGCGAGGCACATAATCCTCCGTCTCCCCGTCATCGAAGACGGTAAAGGCAACCTGCAGAGCAAGGGAAACAGGTAAGGACACGACCCGAGAAGAGTGCGCCTTCCAAGCAGACCAAATAAAGCCAAGACGCGTCCGGACGGCACGGCGAGGCAAGTGGCGGATCCTAAGTGCAGCTCTCCACCCGCAACACGACACAACCAAGCTGTGAAGAGCGGAAACCGCGTAGACTACCAAGCCGAGAAAAATTGCCACGAACAATAAAGCCAAGACTCGGCCAAAGAGTGCGGTGGAGCGAACAGCGGATCCTAAACACAGCCCGCACGAACAGGAGAAGAGGGCACGGAAACCGACACAAAGAGAGAGAGAGAGAGAGAGAGAGAGAAGCAGAGGGAGAGACTGAAAAAGATGGCAACGGCAAGGCACAAGGAGGCCCAGCTCCCAGGGCTCGAACACACCGCCACCTACCTGCCAAGCAAGACAAAAGAGGCGAGCAACCCAACGACAAAGCAAGAACGGGAACAAACTCTGAATAAAACGAACATCGTCTTCACCGAAAACAAGACCCAACAAGAAAGGCAGCCGTGCGACGGATTCCGGCGACGAAGGCAGCTGTGGCACTTCAACCACATCAGTGTCTGAGTCCTCGGCCGGACACACAGCCCGCGCGGAGCAAGAAAGGAGGACGTGGAGACTTAGAGGAAAGAGAGAGAAAGAGAGACAGAGAAGGAGAAGAAGAGAGTGAAGGACATGGAAACAGCAAGGCGCATAGAAGGCCAGCTCCCCGGGCTCGAAGACCCCGCTACCCACCTGCCAAGCAAGACAAAGGAGGCGGGCAATCCAATGACAAAGCAACAACGGGAACAAAAATCCAAATAAGCCGAGCATCATCGTCGTCGCGGGCGCCTGTGCCTTGGTAGGGCACAACCGTACAGACATTAAGAAACGAAGCTGCGATCGAAAAGCTACGAAAGCACGAACTGCCAGAGTCAGAAATCAAACCCGTAAGGTACCGGCCCGGGCAAGCACACAGAGCAAAGCGATCACAAGGAAGAACATCCTCCGGAGAAGAGAACAGAGACAGAGAAAGAGCGGGCGAGAAGGAGACCGTGAGAGAGCGAGAGCGAGAGCGAGAGCGAAAGAGAGAAAGAAAGAGAGAGAGAGAGAGAGAGAGGAATAACAGAAGCAAAGAGACGAAGGGAGCAAACGGACCAGCAGTGCCGGGTGCGCCTCGCCGGCAGCGGATTGTAGGCGCAGGGCTACACAACGCTGAAATGTCGCAAATGGCTGTCGCCCGAAGAGGCAATGCGTGGCCAAATTGGGAGTTCAAGGCGTGCATTCCAAGGTGTGATGATGAGCTGCAGGATCTATGGTTTTGATTACAGGCGACAACGACATACAAAAAGAAGCGCGGAAGCAATGCAAACCATTTTGACGGCAGATGCAAAAGAAAGATACAGAACGACGCTGCACCCTAGAACTTAAAGCCCGGGAAACCCCAAACCAACGACCCACAGCAAAACCAAGCCCTGCACATTCGGACCTCGCAGCCTCGGAAAACCCAAACCACCTGAGAATCCCCGAAGCCTAGCAAATGAGTGCCCGGCGAACAACGCGAAGAGGTCCGAACCTGAGCGCGGGAGGGGTAGGCACAAGGAGGGAAGGCGGGGAGGGGGAGGAGGCAGGGAAGAGCGGAAGAGCTAAGGGTTTGGGACCTAGCGTCTCAAGACTCAACGTTTACACGAGGTCAATATACTTTGGGCCTTTAGGACGTGGAACGTGAAGGCTCGAGGGTCGGAAGCCCTTATGTCATACCAAGCCCAGCGAACCGGAAATCGCACGCCACAACCCCGAACCAACAAAAAACCAAAACCCACAACGACGCAACCAAGTCCCCGGCGAGCGAAGAGGCCACGACCTGAGAGGCAAGCGAAGTCAGGGACAAGTGCACAAGCCATGCAGTCGACAATCGCATGCAGAAAGAGGCACTGCAGCTGCGCAAAGGTGCAATCTTTTTTTACTCGCGAATGCAAAAGAAGGTGAAACAACAAACAAAACGTGCCGGCCCCAGCCCCCGAGCCACCGATGCTGGTGTTAGGCGCTCGGCAACAAGAGACTTAAAAAAAACAAAAAGGACAAGGCTTGACTTCATTAATTACAGTTCCAAAAAAAGGGCCACGCATTAACGGAGCGCATCCCGCAGGGCTTTGCATCCACAGCACCTAAACTAAGAGCTGCCGTAGCAGATTAAATAAAAAACAATTACAACCAACAACAAAACCAAGTGCGATGCAAAGCCCACGGCCCGTGAAACGGGGACGAACCGAACTAACCAAACCCCAACCAAATCAATCAAATCCAATAACTAAACCCAATAACCAAACCAAGTTACCGTCCCCAGTATGTACAAGGGGCGCTCTGGTCGGGGGGTTGTCCTCGGCATCTGGAGGCGAACCTCGCTCCGGACAAACCCCCGACCTTACTACCCCCAGGTCCCCGATTGAAGAAACTAAATTAGCGGCGACTTGCGCGTCTAAAACCCCCATAGGCTCCCAACAAAAAGACCAAAGAGAACCAAAGCAACCAACACAAACCCGAATCGGGGACCCCAAGAAAGAAAAAAACAATAAAAAAAGGCATGCACATGCAGTTAGGGCCTTTAGGGAAAATGGCAAACGGCCAAGGCCCCGCAGAAAAAAAAAAGCGATACCGATATGTTAGATAGGGTGCAACAAGGTGGACAGATGGATAATACCCTAAGGTTAGACAACACTACATAACTAGCTACATACACACCCACCCCCCCCCAATACACAGGTTTACTTACGGGGGGGGTGCTGATAGAAGTGAGCCTTGGCCTTTGCCATGGCTTTGGCCTTGGCGGCCGCCTTGGGCGTAGCGCGCCGGCCCTGCCGAAAGATATAAATACGCGGCAGTGGATTGTCGCAGCGATCACTCCTCTGCGGGCGGCCTGGCGGCAAACAGAAGAACAACCGAGATTCCCCCTTAACCGCCCAAAATACTAAACCCGAAACCTTACATCCCCGAGCCCTAGATCCTTAAACGGCGGACAAAAAAGGTACTAAGCCAAAAACAATCCTAAACCCCACAAGCCCAAGCACTGAAACCCTGAACCCAAAAAGCCCGAGACCCGGACCCTAAGCCCCCGCATCAAAGCCCTGGCACCAGAACCACTAAACCCCAAAACCCTAAGCACAAAAAAAAGCCCTGAACCCCATAAGCCCTAAACCCAGAATTCCTATGAAGCCGAAACATGTAGAACCTTAAAACCCCACGAACCGCAATCCCCTAACACACAGAACACCCAAAGGCCTCGGAGCCGATTCGTGATACAGCGTGGGCAGTCGCCACAAGGCAGACGTGTCACATTGTATCGGTTCCTGTTCCAAGGGAGGGGGAAGGCGGGAAATCCAAGAAACAAACAAACCAGACCCTCACCTAGGACCGATAGGGCGGCAATGCCGCTGCCGCTTGGTAGGGCTTTCGTCTCCGTCAGCAACAGGAATCATGACCTCGGTTCACGCATGCAAACAGGCGAGGTCACCCCAAAGCATAACTAAAAAACAAACCCGGTCCAAGGAGCGGGAGTGTCACCACTACCAGAGGCGGCCTCCTTACAGCCACAAGGCATGCGGACCAAGAAGTACAACGCAAAACAAGGGAGAACACAAAACCAGCCAAGCTACGACGGCCAAGCGGACCTCGATTCACACACGCAAACAAGCGAAGCCCCCCAAAACATAACTATGAACCACAACAAACCCAAACCAAGGAGCCGGGGCGTCCGTGCTGCTGGACGCCAACTCCTTATAGCCACAAGGCACGCGGAACAAGAAGTACAACGCAAAACAAGAAGGAACAAGAAACCAGCCAAGCTACCACAGGCACAGCCGGTTCCGCCGGGAAACAGTCCAAGGAGGCCTCGAAAGCAACACACCAAGCAAACCCAAGAAGAAGCAAGAAAAAGCAACACAAGCAATGCGACCAAGTTGCAGCAATCTCCGCGTCGTAGCGGGTCGCCTCGCGACCGAAAACAAAACCCAAGCCCGAGACCTTAAACACTAAGCCTGAAACCCAGACACTCTACACCCCAGCCCTGGAACCCGGAAACCCTAAACCCAGACAGTAAAACACCGACCCCCCCAAACCGTAAACCCGAAAACCCTAAGCCCTAACCCCAAATCCCGACAGAACGAAGTGACCGCCGTCCACGAGCCCAACTGGAACACTAAGCCGCCCACGTTGTTTTCTGGGAAGTCGCTGAAGAGATCCGGGAACTCCGGAAACTCCTCCAGATGCAATGCCCACCACCACAGATTATGCCAAAAACGAAAACCCGAAACCCCGAAAGCACAACCACAGCCCGCGACCAGTAAAACCAAGGAGCCGCGACGTCCCAGTCATAGACTTCCACCTCCGATTCCTCTCCTTCGTCCCAAACAGCCTCGATTTGCGTACCAGCGAAACCCGAACCCCCGAAAGCACGCCCGCAAACCACAACAGCCTAAGCCAAGGAACACCAGCCGCGACTTCGCGGTCGAAGTGCCTAACGCAATAGGAGGCGAGAGTAAAGAAGAGGACAGATGAAAACAAGCGAGTAGAGCTCTGCCAAAACGTAGGGGGCCGACTCCCAGGGGACGAGCCCGCGGTCAGAATCCGACGACTCCACATTCGCAGGGTCCTGAGTCACCACAAAGAAGCAAGCCGCGGCAAGAGAAGAGGAGATAAAGAGAAAAGAGAGAAAGAGACAGCTAGGGAGAGATCATCAAAGCCAAGACACCTCGGGAACGGCAAGCGATGCCACCGGAGAATCCTAAGTCAAGAACGGCCAGCAACAAACAGTGTAAGCAGATGGAGAGAACGAGAGACGAGGGAAACAAAGCCCCACAAGAAAAAAACACCCCAACCAAAGCCAGGTTGCCGCTGAAACAGGAGGAGCGTCCGGCTCCTAAGTCCAAAGCTGCCGACAGCAGAAGGATAAAGACAAGGGAAAAAAAGAAATGAGAGGGAAGGGGAGAGAGAGAGAAAGAGAGAGAGAGACAAAGCCAAGACACTTCGGAGGAGACCGTCGACGAAGCCGCAGGGTCCTAAATCAAGAATGACCAGTAGCAAAGAGTGCAAGCAGAAGGGGAGAGAGAAAGAGAGAGAGAAAGAAAAAGAGAAAAGGAAAGAGCGAGAGAGAGAGAGGGAAAGGAAAGAAAGAGAGAACACATGGCCAAGGCACGGCCGGCAAGGGAAGCGTCACAGGCGCCTCCTAAGGTCAGCCCCACAGCCACAACAAGACGAAACCAACCGCAAAGAAACCAACCAACCACCCCGAAACAAAAAAAAGGCCAAGTAGCGTGGCCCCTGACACGAGCCTGAGTCCCACAGAACACTAAGTGGAAGAAGCTAGACAACAGCACATTAAGCCAAGTGGCACACTCTGGCGGAGGAATGTTCTTCCGCGGCACCGCCTGGAAGAACAAAAGGCAACACTACAAGGAAGCAACAAAACAACAAACCGCCGGAACGAGCCCACGAGAAACCAACCAGAACGAACACCCCGAACAACCCTTCCGTGAACCACTACCTTACAAATGCAATCCAGGAAACGCCCGCCACGATGATAAGCGCCAGAAGAACCATACGCACCATCGTCTCAGGTACCTCAACAAGGGAAGCATACAGTGAAAGAGAGAAAAGGAAGAGGGAAAAGACAGACATAGAGAGACGTGATGCACCTGAGAGAAGAAAGTGGCAGTGATGCGAGGTGCAAGCTTTGAGCCAGTTGCTGCAACAATGCCGCGAGGTAAAAACCCGAAGATGTATATGTATATGTATATGTATATATATATATATATATGTATATGTATATGTATATGTATATGTATATGTGTATGTATGTATATATATATATATATATATATACATGTATGTATACGATATTATATATATATATATATACATTGATTGTATATGTGCTTACAATAGTGTCTATGAAGGCCCTTCAATAAACCGACCCTTCCCTGGCCGCGATCTCCGTGTGGCCGTCGATTCGCAGGTACTTGATCTTCTGTTTCCGCAGGATGCAGATTTCCACCTCGTCTACCAACAGGCTCAGCCGGAAATGCGAGGACGGCATGACTGCTGGACACTGATCATTTCCAAGGGGTGCCAATGAAGGAGTAAGTTCTGGGTGCGGTAGCTGACTCTAGCTTAAACTCGTGAACTCTGCTTGGCCGCCAGATCCATCATCCGAATGCCCTGTGAGAAGATCAGCGTCCGATGCCCGCGGGACTCCAACGCCGGCAACCTGAATTACAGTGCACACCAAGCGATCTGAACTGACGGGGCGAATCCTTCCGAAATCACCCCTGCCCTGCAAACCTAATCTGCATTAGGGGGGTCCGGAGCAAGAGTAGGCGAAAGAGCAGGGGCAACAGCAAGAGCAAGAGCAGGTGCAGCAGGAGCAAGAGCGCTCAAAAGTGACAGTAGAAATAAAAATACCCTCAATTGAACGGAAACACTTACCGAGTTTCTATTGAGGGGGAGGTCACCCCGTTTAACGTCAAGGGGAAAGGATGGCTATACCACAAGTAGATACTGTATCTGGTCCTTCCGCTGCTCAGGCGGCTTTGGACTGATGCGAGATCTGCAATGTCTCGAAAGCCAAGGAACAGAGCTGCCAAGCATTTCAGCTTCGCACTTTGCGAGATCATCGCCTCTGCGCTGCTCTTGAGATTCCTGCACTCGTGGGCTCATCGGCCATGCTCCCAAAACGGCCAAAGGCATGGCCCGAAACCCAGAAAGAAGCTTGGGCTTTGCTTCGCAACACTCCAGGTTTCAGTGAAAGCCCATGCCTTCACCCCAGCACAGGACTATACAAATAAGTAAAAATGCCCCGCCAGCGTCGAGGCACGAGATGGGATCATGGTTTAAGTGCTATGTAAGACCGTGTTTGCGTGCTGGGCGGCGAGCATGTGCAAGTTCTACAAACTCCGCAAAGCAGTACTACGTGTCAGTACACCTCGCGGGCTGTCCTCAACATGCGCTCAACCGCCTTGCCCGGCTGTGCATCCTGAGTCCAAGCATGTCCAAACATCATCAAATGTGACTGCAAGCCTCCTCTCAAGATCCAGGCATCCTACTGTACACTGACATCTGTAGCACTGTAACCCATACCCCATTGCGTCTGTACCCGTTTTAACCGGGCCGTTCAGGCCTGGGCCGCGTCGTCCTCCTCAGGCTCCACCGGGTGTGGATCGGACTCCGCTGGGCCCTGCAGCGACACGTAAGCTTTGGAGTCCCGAGATGCACATAGCCAGCAGATGTGAGAATATCGGGGCAGAAGCACCAACGTCAGTTCACTGCAGCAGTACTTCAGACAAGCTGTTTCCGCGCGCTCAAAACAGTAGCATTCCAAAGCACTGTGCTCTGTCTCTCTCTGGCGCAGGTGCGACGTTCAGCGACCATAGCCGAGTGGTTGTCGCTTCAGATTAGGATGACAAGCAGGTCAGCAAGATAAAAAAGTGAGACGAGCCTTGGTGCGCTTGCTTGGCCGTGCCTGGCACTGGTCGGACTTCAGTCTTTCCGTGTTTCGTATATCTGCAGCACAGCATCCTATGTACTTCTCCTGGTCTCCTACTTGCACAGCTGTGTGTCCGGCATCGCGATATGTTTTGCTTTTGCCGGCCGGGGGGGGGGAGACGGCGAGCATTCCGGGCTGCAATGCTGTCCATTAGCTGCAAGATGGCTGCGCCTACTGGGTTGGACCCTGGGTTCTAGCTTTGCAGCTGCAGGTAACTTTAATGCCATTGACAACACGGCCAGATTCACTTTAACCTACTACAGCCCACGGATCTTCTACAAAAGGTGCACGCCATGGAGATCGTGACGGGGCTGTGTGGGATCAGCGATGCAGTCGCCAGCCACTGCACCAGCTAGCAAGGAACTCGCAACCAACTTCAAGTCTTTATGCTCTGGGAAAAACTCACCAACAACCACGTTCAAACCACCCAGCTCGAAAGAACGAATGCAGGAAAGAATACCATTGAAGAAACCAGACTGACTTTGCATACGTCCTGAAGCTATCGTTTTGAGCCGCGGCACCATTCTTGTCAGCTCCGCAGGCCCCAAGAGGCCCTGACAGGTGAAGTTGCACAGGCGAGATGTTTACAGCCGGCAGACTTACGGCTTGAACGGTTTGAAGGCTCCCGCAGGTGGAGGCAGCCCGAAGCAGGAGTTCCGCAATTCGCCGCCACTGTGCATTGTCTGCTGCAAGATCCCGGAGCGAACAAAGTAGGGGCTCTTAACATACACTGAGCCAGGACTCGAACAGGCAGTCCGACTCGAGCATTTATGGCTTGACATCCGTCTGTTCAATTCCACACATGTTCTGCGATGTTGGTACTTGCTCTTCCCACGGCACGGGCAGCCTCCCCTGCTGTCGCAAGCGCACGCTGCCAGTTCTCGTGTGTTGGAAGTGCCAACGCAGGGTGGTTGCAGAGTCGCTTCCTCAGATTCAGACGTCTTAGATATCAAAACGAGTGATTGCCGGAAATTGGGCGGGCATGTACATGATCACGTCCATAAACTGCGGGAACTTGCCCCTCGCCCTCATCGATACATGTGGTTTACCGCATTTTGCAGGAATGTAGGACCGCAAGCGTGTGCAAACTCGAGGACTTCACCTCTGTCGATGACAGTATTGGGAATATGGTTGTGTTCGTTGCGTGCAACTGCATGACTACGGAATGCTGCAAGGCACCAGCGCTGGTACGTTCATTACGCAGAAAGAACACGGACGCCGAGCTGCAGCAGCCCGATGGCCCGGAAAACTTCAACTCCCAGCTTGCTTTTGCCTGAGACTCTCACCAACGAGGCACTTCAGCTAGCTGCTCAATCTGTGCATGGCCAAAGTTGGCTGCCCAGGTCAAATCTTGCCAGCTACGCTTTGTGTGCAGCCTTTTACGCACCGTCCAAGACCTGCAATCCAGCCTGGAGGATCCAACTCAGCACCGAAGGAAATAGGACTATGCTCCGCAGTCGGGGGAGGCTGGTGTTGAGCAATCTCTGTACGACCAGGTTGGTGGGAAGATATTTGCTCAAAATGCCCAAGCATACAAAATAAGTGGTTCCGGATGGAAGTGCAGTGCCTTACCTTGCACGGCATGAAACTTAAGAAAGACTTCGATGTCGCTTGGATCGTCATATGATCGAGACTTGCGATCCTGATCGACATTTTCAAGCATTGCTATGGCATGTACCTTGCCGTCCGACGAATGCCCGATGCTGAAATCGACAGTCATGTGAGTTCTGCTGATCATGCACAAACGAAACCGTCGGCACCATGATTTCCCAAGTTCCTGTTATAGCTGATACCTACACAGCTCCACGCCATGCAAACCGCCCAAACCCCATATGGCCCAGAATCGCGTCCACTTATCGAAGTGATTCAACGGATCGGAGTGCCGTCCAGATGCTGTTCGCTTCGTGGATAATTTCGCTGGTCTCCAGAGCTTTTTGGTAGATCCGGACTTGATCTTTCGAGGGCACAAGCCACACAACAAACCTCAGCTGCCCAAACCGCTACTGTAAATAGAGCACGACGCGGGGCCGAAGTGGGCGGAACCACTCTTCCGAATTCTGAGGCTGTTACGGTGGACGTAAGTCCAAGGACCAAGGAGTCCAAGGGGCTCTGTGCGGGGTGGGAGCGGCTTCGTCAGAGCTTCGGTGCTGCCTCGAGCTTCGACTCCTGGGACGAAGATAGAGCAAACTCTGGCCGCAGCCGCCCCCCCAATAACTTTAAGCCCCTCGGTTTCAGCTGCGACAACAAGGCGATGCAGGCACGCCCGGGAAGACGAGCCCCGATCGATTTATTGACATCGGCTGGCAGTCGACTTCTAAACGGTCCATCGCCAGATTTCCCGACACATCTTTGCTGGAAGGGCACCAGCACTGTGGTCCATCATGCCGACGCGATCCTTTGTCCGACGTAGCAGATGCGGCCTGCAGAAGGCAGAGCAGCTAAAAGCACGATTTCGAATTTCGACTCTCACAACTCGCACACGGCAGAGCCCAAGCTCACTGAAAGGCCCAGGCGCAGTGCCTGGCCAGGTCTTGCAATTGCAGACGGGCCAGTGCTGGAAAAATCCGAACGGTGATTTTCTCGGCCTATTTGCTAACCTGCCGAACTGAATTCGAACCCAAAAGCTGCCTGCCTCACGAGCTCCCAGAGCTGCTCGCAAAGGTGCTTCCTGACTGCACAAGCAGCCCACAAAGAAAGAGCAAAAGCGGCAGAGGGAAACGTGCTTACATACACAGACACACAGACAGACAGTGAGACAGAGAGTCGGACAGAGAGTCAGACAGTAAGAACGTGTCATACGTCCATGCTGCACAACATTGAGCTCTTGCGGAGGCTTATGTGTCGATAACCGGAAGCCAACTAGAACCACAGCAAGAAAACTGGTGATCGCGAGCTGCTTCGGAATTGAGAGTGCGCTGTTCGAGGCTTATGAATCCAACTTGAAGTTGAAGGTGAGCCTGCCCCATAAGCACGGCTTCCACAGAGCCAAATTCGTTAAAAAGATCCTAGTTAATATATTGACCTCTTAGCTGCAGCCGTTGCAAGTCCATCTGACAAGTTTACTTTGAGGAAAATGTGCAGGTTTGCAAACTTGAGCTGTCCATGCTCTGGCATGGCTCAGATCCATTCAAGGCATGCCAATGCTGACAGGCATCTTGAGAGCTACAGCAGAGGGCGATGCATCCCGAACGCTTCCTTTCCTCGGGGAGAACTGAAACTTAGTTAGCCGCATCATCTGGATCCAATCCTACCTGTCTTAACTGATCCTTGCTACACATGCAGATGGGATAGAAACTATGCAAGGCTCCCATATGACAGCACACCAGCCACAGCCTTACTTAGCCCTGACGATGAGTGAGCTTCGCAGCCTCTATATTGGTTCCCACCCTCTTCTGCAATCATCTCGCCCTCTCGGTTCAAGGTCCCTCTCTCTCGTCCCAAGGGCTCAATCGGATCATTGAAGCGCTTGGTAAAGGTGGCGTGGTTGCCCAGAAGACCCGGCTGCGCAAAGTCCATCAACGCCCATAAGTCCTGCAAAGCATTCTGAACCTCGGCTTATAGCAACAAACACCCAAGGAGCACGGGTGAGGTGTGAAGAGATGTGGAGCGCGCTTCGAAGCAATGAAGCCACCCAATCGACGTTCAAAGGCAACAATAATCGACGTGCAAAGCAATCTTTCAGATGTCAAGTCTATAGCACCAAAAAACATAATGATTAACTGGCCGTAACTTCATCCCGGGCACTGGTGTGCCTGTCAAGAGGATGCGGCAGTCAGCCTTCAGCCGTCGCACGGCTTTGCCCAGAAGAGTGGAGATCGTCCGCATGACGTGGGCCTCGTCGCAGATCACCTTCGATCCAGCCACGCAGAACTGCACACAAAAAAAGATCGGCAGTGGCTTGTGCCAACCGAGTTTGACAGTCCTTGCGACCCCAACCAACACCAACCCATACCAACCCCCTCTCTGCGCCGGGAAACAAGGTCCCAGGGCTTTATCCAGGCCGCTGCGGCCATTCCGCGGGCTCGTTTCCTTGCCAGTCGAAAGTTGCAAGCTCGGAGGCAGTTCAGGTTGACATCGTGATACATCTTGCACATTGTTTTGTTCGGCAATGTGGGGAGGGATTGGATGCAAGTGTACAGTCTTGTCGGGAGTATACTTCCAGCAGCATAGCTTTGTTTTCGTATCAACTTCCAAGCAAACGGATAAAGACACATGTTCTATATACATATATGTATATATGTATATATATATATATATATATATGTATATATATATATACACACACGCACATACACACATCCATCCATCCATCCATCCATCCATCCGTCCGTCCGTCCGTCCGTCCGTCCGTCCGTCCATCCGTCAATCCATGCATGCATTCATACAACTACATACACACATACATACATACATACATACATGCAATGCATACAGGTTTAAACATGCTTACATACATTGTATAGTTACATTACATGATTTTAGTAGGTATGTATGTACGTGCGTACATGCCTACATATGCAAGAACAAAGTTGCGGACATACATATGTATATACATAGATACTTGACTTTCATTACATACGTACAGTTACGAGGCTTCACTCTGGTCTTGGTCCCAGGTGCTTTTGTGAGGGCTGGCCTTAGTGACTGCCTTAGTGTTCCTAACATTTTCGGGAGGTTCCTTGAGTCCGAAGCAGATAGTCTCGTCATGCATCCGAGTGTTTATTGTTGCTGACACGGACTGTGCAATGGCTTCAGTCAGGTTGTCTATATTGCAGTAGGGGCCAGCCTACAAATGACTCGTTCTCACCATCGTATAGATACCTGAAAGAACAACGAGGATATTGACCTCTCCATGAAGCTTCTTGTATCCTCTTGTGGGATCTGCTGTTTGAAGACATGCGGCGCTCCCTTCGAAGGCCGCCACTCAGACTTGCTCAGGCCGCTGCTTTCGGCATCCTGACCGGCACGGGTAGTCTGCTTCAACGCCGCCAGAATCAGAAGCACTCGCACAAAGCACAAGATGCGAGCGTCCTCGGATAAGTCCACCATGGCCAGCTTCTCGTCTTCGTTCCTTTCCCAGGGTGTGGCGCTGCAGACATTGTGGTGCGATCCGAGCGCGTGGACTTTGGGACTGTCTGGCAGATTTCGACTCCGAAGCTGGACCGAACCGAGAGGCTTGATGATGGCATAGGAGGTGAGCAAGACACCTCCCCGTGCCCGTGCCACGGCACGGAGGGCTCGCGCTCGGTGTGTCGGCGACCCGTGGTAGATGAATACCTGGAGCCACTTAGTAGCACATTCTGGGCTGTCTGGCAGCACGAAGCGCCTATGAGGTTCGGATGGGATGCTGCCTCCCTGCAGAGCCAACTAACTCATTGGTCTGGACACGGAGGTTTTCTCTCACCAAATTTACTCGACAGATGTGTCTGTCGTCGAGGGGTCATTTTACAGAGACTTCGCAAGCCTCAAGCCTTCCCATGAAAATGTCGTGACACGGTCGAAACATAAGTAGTTAATCAGAACACATTCCCACCAGCTGAACGTTCGGCAAGCACGTGTTTTACTTCGTGCTCAGTTTGTTCTGCCGCAGCACATTGAACCAGCAATTGTGGTCATGTCAAATCACAGTCATGGGCTAAATACCACTGCATATATGTCCCAGTCGTTTCCATAGGGGGAGCGACCAATCGGCCTGTCGCAGAAACCTCTCACCACACACTGAGATGATACCGAAGGTACTAACGTGTTCTTGGCTCCCGGCCGGGCAGCCAGGACACCATTTTTTCAGCTCCTGGGCCCACTGATCCTTGAAGAAAGCACGGTCGCTTTCGAAGCAGGGGAGGCTCATGAAGTTTGCAGGCGCTTGCCTAAAAAACCCTGTCGAGGATATCCCTTTCTTCTACCATATGTACGTCTGGCTGAGATGTACAACGACATAAGAGTTCACACTCTGAGCGCAAGGGTCTGATGCAGAAAATGTTCAAAGCACAGGGGGTCAACTAGAAGCGAATCTCAACAGCATCAAGTCCATGCGAAAACACCTATACGCACCCTTGTCGGCAAAACTCTGGAGAACTTCAAAGTCTGCATGTTCCAAGACCTCGCCCGAACGCCCCCTCTGAAGCATGAGATTTGGGTTGAACTGGTCTTCCTGGTTTCAGCGAAGATCCCCCACCTCAAGCCAAGCATTTGCAGCCTCTCGCAGCTGGTCAGTTCGGCTAATGCAGACAAGGCTCCAAGAGGGTCACAGGCATCACCACCAGCACGTGGGTAGCCTATTTTCCGGTGCAAAAATCAACGAGAACTCTTTAGAGCGTGTTAAGCTACCGTAGCCATACCCGGTTTGCCTTTCCGGCCCTTCTCATCCCTGCAAGAGAGGCTTGCAGCGACACTTGCGACTCTAGGATCCCAAGCCCAAGCCCTGCCACACTGTTCGTCCGCACCCTAAGCTATTGAAACTTCGAAGGTCGCACCTGTTTTGCACGAAGTGCCCGGATCATGCCACAAGCCTTTCAGGGAGCATTGGTTGCAATGTTGAGCATGAGAGTAGGGGGGGATCGAAATAATGCCGATGCTACCAAGTTCTTGTGCCAACTAGTATTTTGTCTAGGTCTGTTCGGCAAGACCAGACTATGCTAGAGAAGGTGCTTTGCGAGCTCATGCAAACGGCTGTGGCTTGGCGTTCGTACTATGCATATTGCGACTTTGATTGCAGATGATAGGTCGGCATCTGCGCCAAAACCGTTCCTTGGCGTGTTGCCGGGGCCGCCTGCTAACAGATCCACCTCCAACCATGCCAACCCCCAAGACCGAAAAACATAATGCAGGCCTGCACCGTCTTTCCCAGCCCCATCTCGTCTGCCAGGATGCCTGAGCAAGAAACTGCGGATCTCACACTGCAGCGCGCATTACATTGGAAGCATGGCTTGTGGTTGCGTCACTTGCATGCTGTCGCCGAACTCGTGCCATTCCAAGCTTGACGGAACTCTTCCTGAAGCAAGTTCCGCAGCAACAAACACCGTTTAACTCACGCGTTCCAAACGAATGTCGCTATATGCATTCGGCACATTTACCTTCGAACTAGAGACCTTGTCAGGAAACTGGAACGTCCCATGTCAAAGCCGAGGTGCCTCCGTGCTTGCGAGCATGCAGATGCCACATCCATGCCACTCCTGAACACCATGTGACCATGGGATCAATGGGCACACGATTGCAGGCCTTTGGTTCACTTCCCCCCTCCAGCTGTTCATATTCATGTTTCCAATCTTACCTGGGGGAGGTCTGCCCTGCGGCGACACCACACCATCGCGTATGCAAACAAAAGCACAAGCAAATTCAGCACTGTAGGCAGGCTTACTAACTTGTTGTACTATATTTCTCAATCGGCACGCTGGGTATAGCATCTTGTTACTCTCCCTGTTGGACTTGTGGTCAAGTCGACAAGAACGAGCAAAGTCTCCTCCGTCCCTGGGAAGCAGCTCTTTTGTCTCGGTAGGCTATGCCGCCACAGCCGCAACATAGATAGGAGCAGCGACAGTATGCTATGTCCGTGGCTTGTGGACTAGCTCTGGTGCGGCTTCCTCACATCTTGTGACAGCCTGGCCCAGGTGCAACAAGCCGCAAATAGCAGTGGAACCGAGCCGACAAGCAATGTATTGGCCTGTATCCCCAATCCTCCGCCGGAGGCCCGAATGAGGTTCGTGTACCATATCAGGACAGACAGCCACGCGACATAAGGAATCACAACGATAGGTGGTGGTGCCATCGAGACGACAGGCAAGCCGTCCCAAAGGAGGAAGACACGGAAGCATAGGGTCATTAGGAGAAACCAGGACACATAGTTTTTGGGGTCGACCTCCAAGATACAATATCCGGCAGACTCTGAGCAGGCTGTGTAGCGGTAGAGCCGAGAGGCTAACCACGCGGGCTCTGCAGCCGCATCCAGCAATGTTGCAAACAGAGCACCCAGAACTGCTCGTGGCCAGGCCGCGCAGGGAGCAACCAGGCAGGTGTCTGCCATCAGCAGGGAAAGGTAGAGGTGCCACTGGAGGGACATGGGCTGCTGGGCGGGCATGGAGCCTACCATCGGAACCTGCATTCGCTCGGGGTCCCACGGGTGATCTCCGAATAGGATGCCACCGAACCAAGCATCGAAGTTTTCCGCCACGCACCAGAAGGTCGCCGATGCAGACAGCAACTTCAGTGGAGACCAGACAGAACCAGAGTGCCTCCAATGTAGAAGTACACTGAATGCAAAACCGCCCAAAGACAACACCAGTTGGCTGGCTGCCTGCACCGTCGCTGGTGCTACAGGCCTTGTGTCAATTTCACTGTTAATCCAACAGGCGAAACTGGCTGCAACTCCTGCCAATACGGTAACATGCTCGAGGAAGCTGGAAACCATGGCGCGACGGAAAGTCTTGCTTCTTTTGAACTTGTGGTAAAAGTGCACAGTGGTGAGTTCATCAAAAAGACTATGTCCTAATTTCAGAAATTAAGCCGAACAGCGCTCCGGGGCAGCATGGTCACAGACTCCACCCCGACCGCACCAAACACCCGCCCAGCAGCCCAGCCATACCAATGCACCGAGACGGACCTACATCTACACCACCCAGGCACAGACACAGATGGACAAACACTCGAACACACACACACACACACACACACACACACACACACACCCACACCCCATCCACCCACCCAGCCACCCATCGCCACACACCCACCCACGCACACACCCACAGAGAGAGAGAGAGAGAGCGAGACCCCAACTCTTGTCGTCTACTTTCTTCGAAACTTGTAATTATAGCCAAAGGTTGTAACCGACTAAGACATGACAGGATTGAGATAACGACCTGCACTCAGAACATGAACAGATAGCCGAATGAAGAATACTCCTGCCTTCTCGCTGATAGGGGCAGAGCCGGTCATGGAGAGTCTGTGTCAATCGCAGGGGGTCCCCCGAGGGACCAGCGGACAGGCCTCTGATCAAGTGACAGAATCTTAGTCGTCGAGGGTCTGTCTGTGCAGGCTGAGCTTGTTTCCTGTTTTATGCCCACTGATGTAAGGTCTACACAGAATTAGGGACGATGAGTAGGCATACCTGGTGGCAAACACAACAACCTGCACCCTCGTTTGATACAATAATTGTTGCTCGTTCAGGGTTTCGTGCGCTTTCTGGCAAAGCGGGCGTTTATTGAGAATACGAGCGCTTCTTGTGTTGGAACGTGCGTTTTTGGAAATGCACAGGATATAAACGTGCACTTTTAGAAATCGCATCCGCAGCTTATGTGCTTATATGGGGCCGAGCCGACTTCGTCGCCCCCATCTTCCTGATAGCGTGCCCTCCCAATGTGCACGCAGTTGTATGTCTGTGTACTCGATTGACGGCCATCTCCCCGATGTAGGAACCTCGGCTGTGTAGCAGGTACATATGGTGGCCATAGCGATCATCCTGGCTTTTTGATGCAGGACTGCCATATATAGAATCAACTTTGTGTGCTGTCGCATGCAAACTTGGCAGGACGTGCTCTGGCGTGCCAACATCAAGTGCCCCGCTGATGCCCGCTCTGTTGCCCTTGTGCAGTTTGAACACAGAGCTGTGTCACTCATGTTGCTGCATGCACTCCGGTTGTCGACAGAACCTGGGCTCACACGGGTATGAGTTGAGTGGTTGATGCGTGTTTGAGCTGCATATCCATACATGTGCAGATTGCAATGCATACGTATGTTGCCAATACTCGACATTTACGCATTTCATGATGGGCGGGTGTCGCCTCGATGCTGTGGTCACTGTCTGGTTGAAGGATGACTTGTTGAGTGCTCGTGGGAGCAGGGTTGGAAGGCTCACCGAACTCCCGGGCAAGAAAGTCAGTCGACGAGACGTGAACTCGAATCATGAGATTCTCATTCCAGTTATCGAGCACTTCGGGATGAAGCTTCACATAGGGTATGCGCGCGAGCTCTGCCGAGAATTCTTGTGGAAGACTAAACCACGGGGCCAGCCTGAACCCACATGTGTCTTGCTCGGACTCTATTCATCCTTGTAGTGCTTCTGTACAGTTTCGTTCAGATCTTTAACTTAGCTAGGCTTTGAAGAGCCTGGCAAACATGTAAGGGACCCGCATCAAGCAAGAAGGATGGAAACTTCGTCGTCTACTTACAACACTGTCTCGGGCCGCCAAGAGGCCCCACTGGCCACGTCAAGTGGGCATGCAGAAACTTTTCGAAGCAGCTGGGATTCCTCGTCCAAGTGCCTGGGCCGTGCTTCTCTTTCGGGTCAATTGCACATACCATGCACAAACAGCATATCGCGTAATCAAGTTTCGATCGAATCAAGGCCGCACGAAAAAGGCTTCCAAACCATCTTCGTCGGAGAGTTCTGGTAGTGATGAATCAGATGATTCAGATGCTGAGTCTGGCTCCAGTGACTCGGGTTCAGCCGATTCGGAGTATCCAGCCACGACAGTTGCTGGGTCAAGAATTGTTAGCCTAGATGACTAGATGCTTATACTTTTAAAGATCGGCTTTGGATGCGCCTGTGCACGTGCAATAGACTCCTAGGCTCCGTCTGTGGCGGATAGTGCTCGCACCATGGATCGTGCTGCAGCTCTGGCTATTCCCGGTGATTTGTCTTAACTGATTCTATATCACGTATGCTTACGGTTGGTTGTCGTTGGGGTGCATAGTTCCAGCCAAGCGACGCCTGCTCCAATAAGGCAAGCAATCGCCACCGTCGTCTGTGCATACACCTGCCGCCCGAGGACAGAGATAGCAGACTCCATCACGTGTTCTGTTACATCGCACACAACACGTACATATGCATGTATGTGCACACGTATATATGCTCTCTCACGATCAGGACCTCCGACATTGGATGCGGACACCATGTCGGCCGAGAAGGTTTCCAACCCGAACAAGCGAGGGCAGGAGCATGTGCTGCTGAAGAGCGCCACGGTTGGGTATTTCTGTTCGAAATGCAAACTGTATGGCCAAGATCCTTCAGCTATCCGCCCACTGCCCTGTGTGGAGATCGTTTTCAACTCAGACGATGAGGCCGAGTCCCCCAAGCCGAAGCATGCTGATCTGAGAAAGAAAACCAAGCTTCTGAGGGATCTGAAGGAGGAGACGTTGTATCTCGAGCAATTGCTCCTGATGAAGAAGAAGGAAGCCCGGAAGAGGGAGCTCGCATCTGCTAAGGAAGCTGCCGTTTGTGCCGCTAAAAGCATGGAGGACGAGAATCTTTCAAAGCCGGGTTTCTTGGACTAGAAAGAAAACCTGCATGGAACAATATATGAAGTTTTCGTAACCACCCAAAGCCCCGCCCAGGTTGCTTGGACAACATCGAGACCCAGCTCATGCTATCGCCAGGCCCGTCCCCTCCCAAGCCGCGAAGGTTGGAGATGCCAAGCCCAACCCCAGAGCCATCTGAGCCAATCACGCCGACTGAGCGCGAGTCCCCCATCTCGGACAACACACGTGCCCAGCTTCAAGAAGCTGGCAAGAAGAGGCCACTGCCTGATTCGATTGAGGTGGAGGCCTCGAAGAAGCCGTGTTTGCTGAAATCCACTCCGCTGGCGATCATAGATGGTTCCGCGGCACCATCACCTGGTGCTGGCGATGGTCTTCCGGCCGAGGCCCCACGGCTCGAAGCGGAAAAGATGGAGAAAGCCACAAGCCATACTGATCTTGTGGCATACATGTCACCCAAGGAGCAAACTGCTGCCATCAATGCGGCAAAGGCAGCAAAAAAAGCTGCAGGGGATCCGGATGATGAGGAGGCTGAGGCTTCTGAGGGTGATGAAGATGGCGACAACGAGGATGATGAAGAAGAGAAGGTTTCTAAGAAGCGGAAACCCAAGGCAAAGGGCCAAGCCAAGCCCAAAGCGAAGGCAAAAGCCAAAGGAAAAGCGAAGGCAAAGGCCAAGGCGAAAGCTAAGGCCGGAGCCAAAGCAAAGGCCAAAGCAAAAGCTTTGGCCGGTGCAGCAGTGGAGCCGGAGCAGCCAGATGATGAGGATGATGATGGTGACGATGCAGGCAGTAAGCCAGCCAAGGCCAAGGGTGGTGGCAAAGGGAAACGTGCCAAGCCCGCTGTGGATCCGGAGCCGCTTGGCAAGGCGGCAAAGGTGTCAAGGGGGCGGAAAGCCAAGAAGGCTGAGGTTGAAGCCCAGGAGCTTCCTCAGCCAGAGCTGGCTAGCAAGGGGGCACGCAGGGGGCGAAAGAGCGCGGACGAGGCTGCTGGGCCGGAGGCGGGTGATGCAGCAAAGGGCGGTGGGAGACGAGTCAGCTGGGAGAAGCTGATGGCCGAGGCCAGCACAGATGCTGAGAAGGCTGACATCGAGAAGCGATTCCTGAAGAGTCGCAAGTCGACTGCCTATCACCAGGCCCTTGCAAAGGGCTTGAAGGGTGGCATGACGAAGGAGAAGGCCATCGAGTATGCCAAGGAGGTTTCTTGTCCGTACATATGCATACATGCTAGTGCTCTACGTAGATAGCTCTCCACATGCAAGATCTTCGCTATCATCTGAGGCCTACAAGAAGACCCAGTAGGCCTTTCGTGGCCGATCATGGATGTGAGCCAGGTTCTATGCCAATTTAGGGTGTGGGCACGCATGTTGAGGATGATTTAGATTGTGTGCTAGGTGTGCGATAAAGCTCTCCAATCTATAACTCTAGAGCCCAGACATCCGCTTCATGCGCTTTTCCCACACAGCTTTCCTTTACCGAGCTACGTGCAAGTGTCCACGCAGCTATGTCTACAAAGTCGACCATCCCTAGAAAGGGCTTCCGGGGTGAACCAGTGTGCCATGCGTAGTTCGTCACGCAGATCGAAAAATGTGCAATGTGATGCTCGAATGGCCGATGCAACACTTGCAAGCTACTAGCTACATGCATGTAGATTACCCGCCGCACTGCAGGTACACGGTGCAACATGGACGAGGAGAACTGGGCTATGTTCTCTGACTCGGAAGAGCCAGGTCGGGGCATGCCTTACTTTCCTCTTCTGTGCTGATCGAGTTGTCATGGCCGCTACAGTTTCAACCATATTATAAAGTTGCCCCGCCTCCTCTTGGATCGAGAAAGAGGGGTCTCGCCATAGAGATCAGATAGCCTGCAGCTACAGCTACCATGGAGGAATCCATGGTCACGAACTTGATTCAGGTGGGCGCCCCAAAAGCTCCCTTGGCTCTACTCTTTGTCCCCAAAATCTAGGGTCTAGGGGTTCCTTATAATATTGGTACGTGAGTTGATTGCACCCCACAACCTAGGTTCTGGTGGCCATCGTTCTTCTGCTTGGGTGGCATCGTTCTCCTCGATTGTGCCACATGGGGGCTTCTTTCCAGTTCTTCGACATGTTTGCTGGTACCGCAAATGCAACACGAGTTTGGTGTCTTAGCTACGCATCATGCTGCAGTGCTAGTTCTCGATCATGTCAATCGCAGGACTTTTCGCACGATCTTGCAAGTTGTAGATATAGCTAGTAGACATGTTGCATATCAGGACAAAACGTGGCTACAAGTGTGCCACCTACGATTGGGACATCGATCCGAAGGCCATGGATTTTAATTCTCCAGCCGGGTTCCTGTAGCTCGCTAGCACATGGCATGCTGTCGAGTCATATGCAGATGGTTGCAATGCTCATCCAAGTCTCGCTTTATGGGTGGTTCTACATGAAAGTGTTGATGCAGTCAATCTGGCTGGCCCGGAGTGTGGAAGCTGGGGTGTCCCGGCTCGTGGAACATCTAAGCGCTCCGTGATCAATGTTCTGGGCCGTCAAGCAATTGCATTCGTGAGCCGGGCCAACTGCATGATTTCTCGGAGTCTTGCCTATAGTATATGTCCATGGCACACAAGATAATATTTGCTGATTCGCTGCCGTTGATCTATCCGTTCTCTAGCTGTAAGGCTGGTGGCCCTGATACTGGTGATGCTGGCCAGACACGCCATCTTCATAGTCGAGCAACCGTCGAGCTCGCTGCTGG